ATATATATATATATAGCTTTATAATTGATAGGCATGCCCCCAGCAACCATGGCAACACTGCCACATTGGCAATGATGCCCACTAACAATGGATTAATGCCCCCAACAAACACATCTGCTTCATTAACACATGCAAGCAGGGCTGACTCAGGGCATTCAACATGCACAAAGGATGGAGAAAATGTAAATTTACTCTGTAAATAAAAATGCATGTGGGGCCCAGATCTCAGAGTCTTGAAAAGATGACACCTGGTGCAGGGTAATATTTTTTAGCAAGAGACACCAATGCAAGTATACAGCTAAGCAAGAGAAAGTTGCTGGACTACAACACACATCATCCCAGATCATTGCCTGGGACTAGTGCTTTTTTCTGGGGGTACGCAGGGGTACGCATACTCCTAAACATTTTGTGACTCTATGTTTGGCCTCATTGAGGGGCAGTATTTCAATATGAGGAGGAAAATGAGAGTACCCCTAAACATTTTTTTTTAGGAAAAAAAGCACTGCCTGGGACTGATGGGAACCAGAGTCCAACAGCGTCTGGACTTCAAGTCCAGATTCCTCATGGGCAAATGATTAAAAACCATGGTCCAAATTAAGCCTCTGAATTAATACAAACTAATAAACTGCAGGGCACTCATCCTGACCTTTGTAATTTAACATATGAGCAATGATAGTAGTAAACAGTTAATGTAAGTATTTACTGGAACCGAGGTCTTCTTGGCTTGCATAAAATGATGTTGCAGCCATGATGTTTGGGTTCCTAGCAAACTCTTTATAATTCATTATGATGCTGTTTTAGGTCTACTGTAAATTCTATCACCGATGTACATAAATCATACAGTTTCTTCTAAGATAAGTCCTACATGGACCAATTTTGTGTGCCTCGTCTCTATCTACTTCCCCCCACTTTAAAAAAAACATGTGCTGAATACAACTGTAGCATCACTTGCATTGGCAGTGAATAAATAAGAGCGATCATCTCAATGAGACCAGGGACTGGAAACTTCTGGCCTTCTATATGAAGAAGAAGAAGATTTGCATCAGCCACTAGCCATAGCAATAAAATAACAGACAATGTAGTGAAGATAGAGGTAAAAAGTTAACTATACAAAATACATTCTGGAAGCCTTCTATATGTTTCTGGAATTCTGCTTGCTTGACCATAGAGAAGCTACTGGGGGTTGAGCCCAACAACCTCTGCAGGGCCACAGGTTCCTCATCCTTGCCATAGACACTAACTATTGGAGATGGATGTGTGGCTGTGTTATTTCAGGGCTGACCTTTTCATTGAAGCATCTACAGTCACAAGTGTGTACCTGGACTCCCATGTGCTCTGCCAGCACTCATGTATGTTCATATACACCCTGCTGAGAGCTTTAGGATCTTTGGCTGGAGTTATGACACGTGCTTGTTATGGATGAGCGTTAACCCTTAATCTTATGCCCACATATTATAGCAAATAGGAGTGACAGAATATATAAAAATGCTGCTTTAGACAGCAAAGTTACATTCTAAGCAGGTAGGCACACTTTAATTAAAGAGTGGAAAATTCCCTAACTATTCTAAAGGCCAAAAAGGTAAAGGACCCCTGGGCAGTCACGTCCAGTTAAAGGCAACTATGGGGTTGTGGTGCTCATTTCACTTTCAGGCCTTGGGAGCCGGTGTTTGTCCTCAGACAGCTTTCCGGTCATGTGGCCAGCATGACTGGCACAATGGAACACCAGAGCGCATGGAAGCCAGAGCGCATGGAAACACCATTTACCTTCCCACCACAGCTGTACCTATTTATCTACTTGCGCTGGTATGATTTTGAACTGCTAGGTTGGCAGGAGCTGGGACAGAGCAGTGGGAACTTCACGAGGATTCGAACTGCTGACCTTCTGATCAGCAAGCCCAAGAGGCTCATTGGTTTAGACCATAGCGCCACCCATGACCTACAGAAGCATGGGCATGACAATTTTGCCATAAACCCACACAAGGAGGAGGAGGGAGAGAAAGTATATCAGTCCTTAAGGCAAAGCAGAAGTGTGCAGACTCCTAGGGAGCAGTGGATAAGTTCTGTCCTGTTGGAGCTATGAGAGCCCACTAGCCTTTGAATCTAATGCTTATTTAAATAGCGTTTTGCCAAGGCATCAGTGTATAGAGGAGGGGGTATGTGAAATGATTGATTCCTACAATTTCCATAATCCCTTCCAGATTTTCCTGCCTATATCTCACCTTGCCCATCTTTGGTCACCCTGTTCCTGTTTGCTTAACAAAAGGGTGAAAGACTTGTGATAGTGAGCAGTTATCTAATCCTAGGCATCTCTGTCTGAGATTTGTCTTTAAATCACCTTACCATTGTGTGGATGGATCCCACTGAAGAGATGAGTATCCTGTATTTGGCAATCCTATATTTGCATATGTTGATCTTTAGGTCAGGATATTCCTGAATGCCTGGAGTGTGGCTGGGGCCAGGTTACCAAGGAGTTCATCATGGAGGGTCTCATGTCATATTAGTTATGTCAATCTTATACTTATGCCACGATTTACAGAGATAAACCATAAGTTCAGATTCACACAACCTTCCTCACACTACTTGTAATACCAATGAAACACCTGAGACTGAAATGCGATTCTGATGTTGTGTTTGCTGTGGGCACAACAGCCTTCAGTTCTATTTGCATTGAAAATTTATTTGTGGACAAAAGCAGATCTTAGACATTTTTTGTTTTCCTTCTTGAAAATGTTGGATTTCAGCGATTTCCCCAGTCTTGCATTTGATGATGAACTGAGCCATGAAGCTCATTAGAGTGATTTAGGGTCAGTTACGCTATCTGTCAACTTAACCTATCTCACAGGGTTGCTATGATTATAAAATGATACTGCTAGTGCTGGGAGAGAGAACTATCTATCTTGCCTTGAGTTCCTTCGAGAAAGGGCAGCATATATAAATGTAATAAATAAATACATATAAATAATGACAAGCTGATGGATACTGATCCAACAGGGAAAGAGAGTATTGACCACATTTGTCTTTTATGTACCACTGACCAAGACCCATGGCATGCTAACAATACCAGCTCCCAAGAGAATTTAACAGAATTATGAATTCTAAATGAAGGCTGCGGAGAAGTTCTGATGGACAGAGAACTGATGGCATCAATGTGGAAACATTAATTCCGGAAACATTTTAAACGTTTAGAGAACTGACATAGACTTAATTGGGTGCTTTGTACTGAGCCAAAAGGTTGTCCAAACTCATTTGTAAATTGGCTATGCAGCTGCTAAGAGTGAGGTCACTCCCTGAAGCAGTGCAAGGAGTCCATGTGTGGGAAGAACATGTTCTCCCAAAACAGACTCTCGTGGGAAAAAGAATGTTATCTTGTGCAATGCTGTTCCTGTGACACCTTGAACTTAGGAAACAATGCAATACATTTTGAATTTTGATCTGAGTATTGTAATTAATTATGACAATGCAGTGCTTAGGTACTGCATATATAAACCCAGCAGCACTGATGTGTACTGTTAAAATATTAGGTTTTGACCCAGAATACCGAGGTTCAAATCTCTGTTTAACCATTTAGTTTACTGAACGAGTCACTATTGGTCAACATACCCCGTGAAGCCCCTGTACTCTAAAATACGCCATTAACATTATTAAATAATACTAAATTGATACATAGTTGTTTCATTACACAGCTTTTTATTCCATCACAAGTCCTGGCTATCACTGCTCCCCCTTCTCATTTCATTCAACTCATATATTTATTAGAAAGTGCATCTTAAAGTGTGGTTATGAATCATATTAAACTAATACACAGCTGCTTCATTAAATAGGTATTTCTCTTCCCATGCCCTATCAATCTTCCCACCCCCTTTCTCATATAATTTGTGAATAATATTTATTAAGAAGTGCATTTTTGGAAATGAAAAGGTGAACATAGGAACTATTGGGTGGAATGGAGGAAAACTTGTTCTACATGGATCTCTACTTAAAGCAGGGATGGGAACTCTGTGAACCTCCAATTTTTGGTGAACTGCAACTCCCATTACCCCTAATCATTGGCCAGACTGGCTGGGGCTGATGGGAGTTGGAGTCTATGTTCGAACAGCATTGGAGGGTTGCCCTTAACAAAAGGATCCCAGTTCAGCAGGCCTGTTGAAAACACTTGAGGAGGCACCATGAGATGGAGTAGCAATATTGGGGAAGACAGACAAGTAGGCTGAGCCAGTATAAAGCACGTTCCTATAGAAGCCTACTGGGTTGCCAGGTTTCAAAAATTGAAAATCAGGACACAAATGTCATTGAGCTTTTTTTGGCAAAGTTGTTGAGCTTTTTGTTTTGCTTGCAAAAAACCACCACTACCATGTTTTTGAGCTATTTTTAAAGGAGAATTGGCAAAAACAACACTGTCAATATGGGTAGCATTACGTCTGGATTTCCCTGGACATTTTATTTTTTTGGATGATTTTCGCCCAGGCGCTGCTTCCAACTACAGTGTTCTGGGTATGTCCAGGAAATTCCGGACGTCTGGCAACCTTATATCCAGTGCTTTTTTCCCCTTTAAAAAAGTTTAGGGGTACTCTCATTTTCCACTCATATTGAAATACTGCCCCTCAATGGGGCCAAACCTAGATTCACAAAATGTTTAGGGGTATGCGTCCCCCTGTGTCCCACCAGAAAAAAAATCACTGCTTATATCTGCACCTTGAAATATGGCTGTTAAAAATATCCATATCGGCTTCTTCCTATATGGATGCACTTTATTCCTGTGTGCATCTGATCCCTTCCTCTCTGAGGCTCAGCTCTGCACGGGGACCTGCTGCCCCGTTGTGCCTCCTACTGCCTGAGGCGGTTGCCTTACTTTGCCTCATGGGTGGACCGGCCCTGGGCTGAAAGACTCAGTGGAAGACTCAGTGGCAACTCCTTCCGAATACAAACACGCATGTAGGACCACACCGTTAGGCTCCTTCTCATCCACCGAGTTACTTCAGCTTCCGAAGCAGCCATTTGTTATGGGGGCTGCGGGGAAAACACCTAATGATCTCATCCGCCATAGTTGTTTGTGGATTAGGACCGCAGGTTTTATTTTTTTATTTCCCCTCAAGGGGTCCGTTTTAAACACTGTGAAAGCAGGATTGCCTGAGCGGCTTTCAAGGGCCGCGCACAGCGATTCATTCTTCCTCGGGCCACGGAGGGATGTGGTTAAAAACGCCCCACACTGCCTCTCAAGCACCGTCGACGCCTATTCTGACAACCCCCTGAAGCAATTTATTCCCCCTCGCTCGATTTCTCTCGTGTTTGTGTGTGTGTTCTGTGTACTCAAGAGGGACTTTTACTTCTAAGCAGCAGCGTGCATGGGGCGGGGACGGAGAGGCAGCGCCGCCCTGCATGAAGGGCTCCCCTTGAGTGAGGAGGAGGAAGGTCGCGCCGTAAACCCCCCTCTGCCTCTGAGGAGAGAGAGAGAGAGACAGAAGAGAGAGAGCCGCTTCGCCTCTCCGCGTCATCCCTCCGGCCCAGGAGGAGGAGGAGGAGGAGGAGGAGGAGCCGCATTCCCGCGCCGATTGGTCGGCGCTGCTGCCAGTCGCGCAGGCGGGCGAGGGGCGCGGCCAAGCGTAGAGCCGGCTCGGCTCCCGGCGAGAGCAAAAAAGGGAAAGAAAAAAAAGCGGCCGGCCGAGTCAGGAGCCTCGTTGTGCTGCCGACGTCGACGACAGAAGAAGGAACCGTGCCGGCTTGTAGTAGTAATAGTAGTGCCAGTACCATTATTCCTTCCAGCGCAGCCACCCTCTCTCCTCCCGAGCCCTGCACCATGGAGGAGGAGCGGTCGGGGGAGCAGATGAGACCGCTACTCACAACGGTAACTGAAGAGCGGCGGGAGGAGGCGGGATGGCAGTTGGTTGCGCGCGAGGGAGGGAGGGAGGGAGGGGGGACGTGGAGGGAGGCGCTCGCGCCCCTTTATCTCTCCCGCCTTTCCCCTGGGCTGAGGGCTCGGGCGGCCGTTGCTGCCGGTGCCGCCGCCGCCGCCGCCGCGCCTCTTTGTGGGGGCGGAGCCCCACCGAGCGCCTCACTGGGCTCCCTGGCTCTGTGACGGGAAGCGGCGCCGGATTAATGCCCGAGGACGCGACACAAAGCCAGGCGCTCTTTTCTTTCCGGTCTTGAGTCTCCCCCTCACGCACACAAACCGACAGGTGTCAGTCTCTCTCCCTCGCCTCCCCTCAGCCCTTCCTTCCACTTCGCGCTTCCTCTTTCCCCCCGCTTCATCTCCGCAGCCAAACACTACTAACAACAACAACAACAACAGGAGCAATAATGTTGTGACACGTGGATGGAATTAAGACTTGAGGGTGTGTGCGGGGGGGGCGGGCGGCGGCGGCGGTTTTCTTGCTCATGGAAACATTTCTCATCAGCATCATCTCCGCCGAATGAATCCTCCACTTGGCGCGTGTGAGGAAATGGAGGGAGGCGCGCGTCTCCTTCCTTCCCACAACCAGCTCCTGCTGGTCTGGGCTCATTGCTTTTGTTCAGGCAAGAGCTCTTGATAGGGTGAGGGGTGGGCAGAGAGGGAGAGGGAGGGGGGAGCCTGGTTCTTTGTTCGAAGCTCCCCCCCTCCCTTCTCCCTCTTACCCTTCTAACGTGCTCCCTTCATTCGGGCTGGGAAGTGTCAAACGGGGTAAAGGAGGATACATAATAAGCAGGCTGCAGCGGGTCAGGGCTGGCCTCTGCTGTCCTATGGGAACTAATAATAATAATAATAATAATAATAATATAAAAGGACATGTGTCCTGGGCACAGTGCAGCAGGCGAGGTAGGGGCATCTCCGGTGAGATGCCTTGCTTGCCTTCCGTCCTCCTGCTCCTCTTGACTCCTTTGTGAGTGCAAACACATGGCTAACCCGAAGCAGCTCTTTTGTCCTCAGAGCTCAAGGAAGTGGCAGATAACTCAGCAGTGATTCACTTTACTTCCTTTCATGGCTGGGGGTGAAATGAGGCGCAGTCTGTCTCTTCCCCGCCACCCCACCCTTCCCCGCTTTTTAAAGTAGTACTAGGAAGAAAAACATTAGTGGTTCATCACAGATTATTTTTTTTGCCCCCTTGCGTTTTAGATGAGTTAGCCAGGATTTTTACTGAGTGTTTCCATGACTTTGTCCTGCTGCTAAGGTTGCGTTCATTCCCAAGGTTCCTTTGGACTGTGCCGTGGCACATAATCTAGTTTTAAATGGCACTAGGAGATGGAGAGCTCTTCTGATAGCAAACGAAGTTAGGCGAGTGAACAACCCAGTGTAAAAGCTTTCCCTCTACTTCATTTGGCTTGTAATATGTATTAGTACCATGTGGCAAACAATTTAAGTACTGGATTTAACTTGATTGCTCCACATTAGGATCTACATCTACAGCAAATTGTTCGATATAATCTAAGTAGAAAGGTAGTGGTCTATTTTTTCGTTGGTATGGTAAAACAGTTTTGGTGGACTACATTGTGGGTAGTATTGAACTATGTATTACCTAATTAGAGTATGCCTATTTAAATGAAAGTAAATAAATGTCAAATTAATGTGGTTTATGCACATTGGAGGTGGCATAATAAATAATGCTAACTTGCGCAAAAGACAGTAATAGAAAAAGAGTTATTACTCCTGATCTATGATGAGGGGAACAAAAGTAGGGCTCCTAAGATCTCTTGGACAAAGAGTCAAGAGTCTTTAGCTTCAGGTTTGCCAACAGCCACAAACAAAGGGGGGGGGGAGCCACAGGATTTGCTCCTTTCCTGTGGTTAGTAGATGTCCTTAAATCCAAATACAGTAATGTCTGATCTTTTTGATATCCAGCTGTCACACAGAAGTGACACTTGGAAACCATGCCAGGTTTTTTGCCTGGAGTGTATCTCTAAAAGTTACTTGCCCAGTTGTTTGCCAAGGCTTCTGGTGTGGAAAGACTCCACAGTTATAGCAGTTTTCATTTGGCAGGGATTCAGGTCTCTCATCTTAGCACTGCTTTCATTTATATACCACCTCTGCCCTCCACCTTGCCTCATCTGAGTGTTGCTTGTAACTAGGGCTAAGTGTCTGACAGCAGACAAGCAGAATGTTACTTTGGGAAGGGTAGTGTGTAAGAAAGGGAGGATGCATTTGATCCGATTGCTGATTCTGCAGTGGTTCCTTTGACCCTGTGGGTTCTTGTGCTCTTTGGCTATCCCTCACTGCGAGAAGCCAAGTTACAGGGAACCAGGCAGAGGGCCTTCTCGGTAGTGGCGCCTTCCCTGTGGAACACCCTCCCACCAGATGTCAAAGAGAACAACAACTACCAGGCTTTTAGAAGACATCTGAAGGCAGCCCTGTTTCGGGAAGCTTTTAATGTTTGATGTATTATAGTATTTTAATATTCTTTTGGAAGCCGCCCAGAGTGGCCGGGGAAGCCCAGCCAGATGGGCGGGGTATAAATAATAAATTATTATTATTATTATTATTATGCTGAGTATGAGTGATCTGTTGCAAATATATTTTGTTTTGTTTTTGGTCATAATAGTTTTTGAGGGAATAATTTTGCATCTTTTGAATTCTTACAGATTACAGAAGGAGACGGTCGTTCCAGCTTCTTGAAGGAGGTGGGGGCCCATTAATCTTTTGAGTAGAGAAACGCATGACTACAAAAATTGAATTGCTACATTTACTTTTAAGATATATTTTTACATAGGAGACTATGATATATTCACTGAAAGATGCTAGAGAAGATTGGATTTGGTTTTACAATCATGGAGAGGGTTAATGGTTCCTGTTCTCATAAGCTTACATAGATTGTGGTCTGCCTAGTTCTCTTTTCCTGTCTAGGAAGAAAAGAGCACTCATTTATTTTAATATGAAAGTGTTTTTATAATAAAACGGATGTAGACCTGTGCGTATTTCCTTTTTGCAACAATTAGCTCTTCAGCTACGTGTAGTTCTAGAATGTTCAATTGCACCTACTTTTTTGCTTTGTGGCAATGATTTTTGATCAGGCCTTTTTTACCATTTACAGTTTGAAGCACCATATACTGTATAGGTTTTCTGAACCTATCTGGAGGCTTTCACAGTAATATTACAAGTACTAATAATATTTCACAAGTAATATTAACCATTCTTCTCAGGCAACCTTTCTATGGAATATGCCAGCATTAGGATTTAATGTTTTGCTAGAAGTTGGATCTGTGTTGATCTTCTGATGAAGCGTCTTGCATGCTAACTTTTTGGAGGGTTTCCTATTGACTAATATGAAAATTCCTTGAAAGTAAAAGGCAGCATCACATTTTATCTGGCACTTATGATAAATCATTGTGTGAATGCCCTAGGAAGATAAGCAAATCTTACTGCACCTTATACATATGTAGGATCCTGCATATTATAATCTACACATCTATAGCATCCTGAGTCCTTCTCAGAAATCTGTTCTTGGAAATCTGGAAGGGTATTTTTGGAACATTTGAAATGAGCCTACAGCTTCCTACAGTATCTGTTGAGGGTCATTTAATCAATCTTAAACTAACCAATCCACTAAAATAGCTTTAATTATTTATTACTATTCTCTTCTGCACTGATGATTCATGTAGGTGCATCCGTGTCCATGGTTGCAATTAGCTGTACCAGGTGGCTATTGGATATGAGAGAAAGGGGTGAACTTCACCCCATGGCCTACTAGTAAGCACAGCACTCGCCTCCTTTTGAGTTACCTGAAGTAGGTGGAACAAGAAAAGATGAACATGCTGGAAAGAGGGTTCCTCTCTTTGCATGCATGCTAATCTACTTTCTGTTCTGTTGGAGATTAAGAAGATGAAAGGAACTAATAAGTGAACTAGATAATTTCCTAGCATTTAATGAACCTGAGATAAGGATGGAATTCTTCAGATTCTAATGTAGAACATTTCCCTCTGGTTTGATCCAACACAATTACCATTTAATATTTCAAAAAGTCATGGCTGCCTTTATATAGCTGTCTAAAAATGCAATACTGAAATCTAATAAATGCCAGGCTATCCTAAAAAGGCAAGGAACTATATGTATTTGTGCAGTGCTATTTAGCTCTTGTTTATACAACTGAATATAGCTGGAATAGTCCCCCCCCCCAAAAAAATGATGAAAATACATTGGGTGAAATATTTTCTACCTGCTATTGCTCTGACTTTCCTGTATATGCATATTGTGCCTTGTGTTTTATTTTGTTAGCTAATAGTGGGACTGTGCATAGGATTTCACAGACGTGTGTGCCAGAAAAAAATGTCTTAACTCAAAATAGCTTGTACATATGGGTTCCTGCTATAGAATTACACAAACTTGTCACCTGATGGCATTGTCCTTCATAAATCACATTCAGTCATTACTCCGTTATGAGGTTGGTTCTTCATCATTCTCACAGGAGTTAAGTATGTTGGCTTAAAACATTTGGTTGCAATGTTGTCATATTTTTTGTTGTTGTTCTTTTTATTGACTCTTCCAAAAGCCAGCTAAATTGAGGTTATGTACTTCGTTTGCAATAACAAATCTACTTGATTAGCCTGCTTCTAAACTAGTGAAAATAAGAAAGGGTATTAGCTGAGGACTTAATCAAGACACCTTTTGAACGAAACATTTTGCTAAGCCGAATTTCATGGTTCCTGACAATAATTCTAACTTTATTTTGCACCTTGAGTGAGTTTTAGCTAACCTTGTAAGTAATTATACACACAATTCTAGATAATATGCAGCTCTATAAAATAGCCTGAAGTGTAAGAATAGGATTACAAATCCACATATGATACTGTGTGCATTGGTTTTATCTTGCTCCAGAGTTAGCTTGCAGATACCCCACTGAAAATAATGACAAAACTTAATATTGATTTTGATGGCCTAGGTCTAGGACTACACTGAAGAGAATCATGTGATGGAATATTTTATGGTGCACAGAAGCTCTTATCTTAATAGAAGCAGGATAGACTTTTAAAAAAAATCCTCAAATGAGATGCAGAGAAGAGAGGGGAATTAAGAAGGCTAATGCCAGGGAAGCCCTAAGAGGAAAGGCAGAGGAGAATAATAGCATCATCAATTCATTCAAATTCAGTAGATAGGTCAAGGAGTTTTTTCTAATATAAGACACTCATATAAGCACCCACCTAGCATTTGAGACTTTCTGATGATGACCTGATCTTTATTACATCCCATGGGGATTCTAAATTACCGGTAGTCCCTGCTGGGACAAGGCCTAATGCTCTGAAGTTCTCTTGATAGAGGTGTATAGCTGCTTCCTTCTGCCTTTCTGAAAATATAAACTTCCTTTTTGAGAATCTTTGAGAATTATTTCTTGCCTACAGAATTATTTGTTGTGTGTCTGTGTTTGCCTTAATTTTGTTGATGATGCAGGGCTGGGGGGTGGGGAACTGATGGGACATGCAAAATAACAAAGAATTTCTTAGGTGAAGGACCAGGGCTTGCATACAATGGTTAGAAACTGTTTGACCTGCCTAGTAAGATTCTGACAAGAGGTAGCTCGGTACAGTTCAGCTACTGAAAACCTTTGAACAAAATTGCTCACTCATAATATGTTTCGTTCCACTTCTGTCATTTCTGACTTGGGTAATTTTGAGATGTGTTCTTGTTGTCCCCCCACCCCATCTCCTTTTTAAAATGAAGGCTGGGAGTGTCAGCTCAGGACTTTTGACATATTTGAATATGCCGTTTACAAACACTTCCAAATAATGATATATCTCACTTTAAGTTGAAACATAGTTTAGAGGTACCTCTGCTTCAGTGAGAATTTTTGTTGTTTATGGTTTAGTTTGCTTTTACAAATATAGGATGTTCTGTTGCAGAGGCACTAGAGGGCACTGCTCTCATATCTTGGTTAGAGAAATCCTGTGTTATGAAAATACACATAATATGTGGAAAGCCAGTGAGGACTTCATTTATAACATTTTAGGCTGTAATCTTATACATAATTACCTGGGAATAAGCCCCATTGAACTCAGTTGGAGGTTTTAGATGAGCTGAGAGGTAAGTAGTGAAGAAAGGAGAAATCATGAAGGAAGAATATACACAAATAGCCAAGGTAAGATGGGCCAGCGCTCAGAATGAACTCACGTTTGCAAGAGAGGTTAGAAGATGGGTAGGCAAACTAAGGCCCGGGGCCCGGATCTGGCCCAATCGCCTTGGGCATGCGGATGGTCTGGGAATCAGTGTGTTTTTACATGAGTAGAATGTGCCCTTTTATTTAAAATGCATCTCTGGGTTATTTATGGGACATAGGAATTCGTTCTCTCCCCCCCCCCCCAATATAGTCCGGCCCCCCACAAGGTCTGAGGGACAGTGGACCGGCCCTCTGCTGAAAAAGTTTGCTGACCTCTGGGTTAGAAATAAAAATGGTTTTTGTGGCTATGTTCAAAGCAAGAGGAAGAACAATCAAGTAGTAGGTCCCTTGCTTGGAGAAGATGGGGAAATGCTCACTAACACGTTATCTTGGAAAAACTGACAAGTGGGGTGCCTCAGGGTTCTGTCCTAGCCCTGTTGTTGTTCAAATTCATTATAAACAACTTGGATGAAGGAATTGAGGGGATGCTAATCAAATTTGCAGATGACACCAAACTAGGAGGGGTAGTCAAAGCCACTGAAGACATTATCTGGATTCAAGATTACCTTAACAGACTGGAGAACTGGGCCAAAATGAATTTCAAGAGGGACAGATGTCAGGTTCTACACATAGGCAGGAAGAACCAGCTGCAAAAATATAAAATGGAGGTATGTCCCTTCCAACTCTGTGATTCTGTGACATCTGGTTTACCAGTAGGACTTGTGAAAAGGATCTAGGGGTCTTAATAGATCACAAGTTTAACATGAGTCTATAGTATGATGCTGCAGCAGCAGCAGCAGCAACAACAGCAACAACAACAACAAAGCTAATGTTATTTTAAGCTGCATCAACAGAAGTATAGTGTCCTGACCAAGGAAAATAATAGTCCTGCTCTATTCTGCCTTGGTCAAACAGACCATACCTAGAGTACAGTCTCCAGTTTTGGGCACTACGATTTAAGAAGGATATTGACAAGCTGGAACGTGTGCAGAGGAGGTTGACCAAGATAATCAAGAGTCTGGAAACCAAGCCTTATGAGGAACAGTTGAGGGAGTTGGATCTGTTTAGCTTGGTAAAGAGGAGACTGAGAACATATATGATAGCAACCTTCAAGTATCTAAAGGGCAGTCACATGGAGGATTGAGTGTTTTCTCCTGTTCTGGAGGCTAGGGCCTGAAATAATAGATTCAAGTTACAAGAATATACATTCTCACTAAACATAAGGAACAGGAAGAACTTTCTGTCACTAAGAGCTGTTCGACAGTAGAACAGTCTCCCATGAGAAGTGGTGGACTCTTCATCCTTGGAGGTTTTTAAGCAGAGGCCGGATGGCCATCTGTCATGCATGATTTAGTTGAGATTCCTGCACAGGGATTTGGACTAGATGACCCTCAGGGATCCCTTCCAGCTCTACAGTTTTGTGAGTCTCTGATTTGACTTCTGAGTACAGTTGTTCCTCCCTTTGCGTCTGGGATTTGTTCCGGAGCCCTGGATGCTCAATGAAAGGGACACTCAACAAAGTGCTGCTCTGCGCATGCGTGAAGCGTGATTTAGCACTTCTGCGCATGCGGCAAACCCGGAAGTACCCAGTTCCGGTACTTCCGGCTTTGCCACGGACGTTGGACAAAGTGGACCTTAAACGGGACGGACTGAAAATGAGGTACCACTGTAGATGTGTCAGATTACACTGCACACTTGGCACTCCTGAAGCTAGTATCTTAGTCATGGCAATAAGCCATACTTGTGAATAGATACAGCTATTCTTTTCTTCATATATAAAGCCTTCAGCGTGTTGTGGGGTACTTAAAGTGTGTGTGGACAGGATACACGGATCATACTTCAACTACAAATAAAACTTAACTAGTTTGACATCTATGGAAATTGAAGTGCACTTGTGCTAATAGCAGAAAGGGTGCTGCAACAGGTAATGAACCTAGGCAGTGATCTAGTTAGCACAGAAAGCCAAACCATGATTTAGCATGAATGAGAATACATGCAAGTTGTTGGAGCAAAGTTTGCAGCCACAGTGCTCCTTCTGAGCCATGATTTGTCTTAGCATTGTGTTCAAACCCAGGCTTGTGGTTTGTACCTTCAGACAAACTCCAAGTGATAAGGCAAGAACAAACTTTTTTTACAGCTTGTGACTTGCTTGTCTCACTCCGAACATTCAGGTGCAGTGCTTTACCAAACCATGGCTTTTCCCTGGGTAGCATGAGAGCAGAACGGCTGAGCGCAGAACACCTGAGTGAGGAGCAATAGAGCTTTGATCGAGCAACCTGCACATTACTGCCAAACCCTGGTTTAGCTTAGTGTTAAGTGCAAGTGGGGTCATTGTGTTCTTTAAAATATCTGCTTGTGTATAAAATATGTGTTTGGAATGTGACTGGAAGCATATCACAGGCATTCAAATAGCTTTTGTATAATGATTCCAAATTATTACTTGCTTCTTTGTTTCTGGTACATATGGATGTGTGGTGGTTCCTCTTCAGACTGTAGTGTTAAGTATTGATAGCAAAAAAAAAAAAAAGGTGATTTAAAAATATTGCTTGATACTAATTCTTCATGAGCAATGGGATTCAATAGAATATTTAATATAGTGATGAACAGCATATGCAGTATTTTGGATTCAAAATATACTGAAATAAAGTCTCAAGGCTTGCTTCAGATGATCTAATGAGAGACCATTTATATGAATGTGAAAGTGTGTGTTTGTAATCAAGAAAAGAGGAATGCCTTGCTTCCATAGGTGGTCAGAATATCAGCAGGGTAAAAGATGCTTATTCTTGAGGCTAGCTTTATGTTGCCAGGAGATTGAGAAAAGGAGCGGCTGACATTATCTGACAGCTCTTTTCCTTCAGCAGCTCTGATGATCTTCTTAAGAAAATAATTTATTGTTTGCTCTGGCAATAATCACTTTTGCCTAGTCAGGGGAGATTGTAGAAGCAATTAAGAACTGCACTCATGTTTTCAAATTTTGAATGTCTGGTGAATGCATTTAGTTCATATGACAATTTGTATGACATTTAGATTAGTGCACAAAAGAACATGCTTGAAATTGAGGTCTAGAGTTGTACTCTGGTTCAGAGGAAAGCTTGGGATATACTATCAGCAATACTTCAGAGGAACACATTGTGAGTTGAGTTCTGTTTATTTTTATTGAGTGTAAAGCTAAAGTGGCACAGGCCTATGCTAAACAGTCTATTCCTAACTCCTGAAGTAGTAGTAGCTTAGTACAGTATGTTCTGTCACAGTGATGAAAGGCGGACCAAGCTGGAAATGCCAAAAAGTGCTTCTGCTGATTGACCTAGTTCTATAAGAACAAAATCCATTTGTTTCACTCTTTGTTGAGACTTGATGCATTCAGTGTATCTGCACTATCTTTCTTCAAGTCACACTGCTGCTAGTGTTCACTTAAATTAATCATCTGTAATGGAATCTACTTAAGCAGCGTTTTGGAAACTGCAAGCTGCTTAGTGTAGTGAAAAATAGACTCTTAAAATCAGATTATATGATATGCAATTTCTAATTACTCTTGGCTATTACTCTTGCCTATATTTGAATACCCTAGACAAGGCAGTGGCATGTTTTGAATTGAAGGACAATGGTTCTTCCCCCACTTCCCTCTCCAATTCAAGAGACACTAAAATCAATTTAGCGGGTATATCAGACCTTTTACAAATCTAATTATATGCTGCTAAACAGCAAGGGCCCCAAAGGCCAAAATGGAAATTTTTACGTATTTCACTCACTAGAGCTTGCGTAGTTAATTATATAGCTGTTCTTGCTCACACACTTGTCAGTCTCTGATTATAGTGACCACCAGCCATTTGAAATTAATTTTGTATTATTTGCCTATAGGGATGGGGCTGGCCCTGTGTCATTCTGTCTGACAACCAAATTCCTATTTACCTAGTACTGGCCCACATGGAAAAGAATGGACCGTTAGTTCCATTTTCCTACCTATAGAGCTGGTACTGGTCCTGTGCCATTCTGTCTGTCAGTCTATTTACCTAGTACCAGCCCATATACCAAAGAATGGACCTTTGGTTTCTGATTTCTGAATTACATATTGGGAAATGTTCTTTATAATGTCCCCAAGGCCATCAATAGTATATATATTTTTACAATGTTGGAAATAATTCCTGTGCATGTGCTATTTGATTAATACTTTCATTTGACTTCATAGTTGGTGAGTCTACCCACCCAGTATTTAAAAACTGAAATGTGTAAAATCATTTCTTTCATAAAGGAAATGCAAGCACTGGCAGTGTACAGGGATGAATTGTCAATCCCCATTCAGCCATGAAGCTCACTTGGTGACCATGGGCAAGCCACTGCCTCTCAGCCTACCCTACTTCAAAGGGTTCTGGTGGGGATTAAGTGAGGTGGGGAGGTCCTTGTATGCTACCTTGTGGTCCTTGGAGAAAAAGGTGGGACATAAATGCAGCAAACAAATAATCATTTTGTTGTTCATCAAATGTACCTGCAAATGTTTAGAACAGTGCCTTACAACATGAAGGTATTTCATATATTTCAAAAACTTGAGTAAAGCCAAACAAAACTCACAGGAATAGTTTATGAGTAGAAACATATGTTTGAAAATAAGCGGTTCAACACATTTCATTTCATTTATAAACTATATATCACATTTATCACTCAACTCTTGTACTGTATATCAATATTGGCATATATTAAAAGAGTGGACAAAAATGAGCAACATTTCCCAAAAGTCAATTACCCTGTATGAAATTGTGTATATCATATTCCTTCTGTTATTGTTTTAGCACTTTTTAAATACTTGTTTTCAAGAACCTTCACTCTCTGGTTCAGAAGTTCATACTGGGATAATTTCGGTAGATAAGTATAAGCAGATAAGAATAAAAGTGTGCAAGTCAACTTACTAAGGTTGGCAGTGGCAACAACTCAATTATTCCATTAAATGAGCACAGCAATGTCATGTGGACCTAGCTTTCAAAAGCAGTCTTTTCCCTCGGTTTGAAAATTGTCTGAATGCCTTGGCTCTTCTGTCATTTCCTTTACTCTGTGGCATAACAGAGTGAACAGCTATGAGGACTGTATGTGGATCAGTAGAGGACTTCAGAACCAGGCTTTCTGATTCTTTCTATAATGCCTGTATTGTTTTGCGACAGTCTTAAAACCTTTATTCTCTCTGGGTTTTGGTTGTTGTTGTTTTTTTTAGGAGATGGAGAAGTAGTTCCTGCAGTACCACATTGGTCTAGGTAGAAGTAGGAAGCAAGTGATATTTGAAAGCTTTCAACAAAAGTAGTTCTCACATCTGTAGGAACTTATGAAAGACTGAGCATTCACTTGACAAACAAAAAGCAATGTTCAGCACTGGTGCTGGATTTTTCTGACATTGTCCAGAATGTGTGTCACCTTGTGAAGGTATATGTGTGTCTCTGTGTGTTCATCCCACCCCGCTCCACTCCTTTGAAAGCTGATGATGTACCATCATTCAATTTATTAGTTGACATTATAGTATCTAAAAACTCTTTATTTTTAAGGGAATTCACCATTTGTTTTAAGTTTGACAATAGATATTTGCTCACGTACACACACACATAGATATACTTTTGTATATCATTCTGGGATTTAAATTTTTTGAAGTGGTTTATAAGTATTATAAACAATAATTAAGCAGCCCCAACTGTAAAGGTTACGTCATACTTCTCAGCCTTGCATTACTGTATATTTATGCGTGGTATAGCAAATGTGCAGATTTGAAATTTGGCTTTGTAAAAAATGCACTCGTTAAACAGTTATCCTTTTTTGGTGTAGCCTTTTAAGGCTGTGTTTATAAAATGTTCCATTCTATTTTAGGAATCTAGTTTAAGAACCAGGTATTAGTAATATAATAACCTGGTCCTTGGTTAACATTATGGTTACTTCTTGTTTTGCATTTGGTCCTTAAAATAAAAAAATGTGGCAGAGCAGCCTTTAAACTAATATGGTGGGGGCCATTTCATTCCAGGGATGAGGAGTAAAATGTTTATCATTTTTCAAATGGGGGATGGGTACAGCGAGGCATTGAGAAAGCAGGGGCACATGCTAACTATTAGAGAAGCAAAGGCACCATAGGGTAAAACCCATATTCCAAAGACCAAACACACTAGTTATGGGTGTTTATATGCTACTGCTGGAAGCCTGTGAGCCAAAATGGACATTAGCTAGAGTCTTTGGTTTTGAGAGAAGAGCATAGATATAATGGACATAAGGGAAACTTGGTGGACTGGAAAAAAACAAACCTGTTAGACCTGGTTATCTCTGTTAAAAAGTATATAGGAAAGACAGGGAAGGTTGTGCTGGAGGTGCTGTAATCCCATACCTCAAAGAGGGCATAAAGTCCAGCAAGATAGAAATCCTCAAAAGGGCAGACTCCACAGAGTTGCTGTGGGTGGAAATACCAGGCCCAAAGAATAATTAGTACTATTGTCCAGTGAAAAAAACACCCAGGTTGATCTTGAGATGGAGAATGAAATCAAGAAGGCATGAAAAATAGGGTGTAATGTAGTAATAGGGTAAAGGTAAAGGGACCCCTGACCATTAGGTCCAGTCGTGGCCGACTGGGGCTGTGGGTGCTCATCTCGCTTTATTGGCTGAGGGAGCCGGCGTACAGCTTCCGGGTCATGTGGCCAGCATGACTAAGCCGCTTCTGGCAAACCAGAGCAGCGCACGGAAACGCCGTTTACCTTCCCGCCGGAGCGGTACCTATTTATCTACTTGCACTTTGAGGTGCTTTCGAACTGCTAGGTTGGCAGGAGCAGGGACTGAGCAATGGGAGCTCACCCCGTCACGGGGATTCGAATTGCCGACCTTCTGATCTGCAAGTCCTAGGCTCTGTGTTTTAACCCACAGCGCCACCCGCGTCCCAATGTAGTAATAAGTGACTTCAGATACTCTAATGTAGACTGGCTACATGTGTCACAGTCATGACAAAGAGATAAAAATTTATTGATACCCTAAATGATTGTGTCCTAGAATAGTTTCTCATGGAACCAGTCAGTGACCCTGGACTTAATCTTAAGTGACACTGAGGACCTGGTGTGGGATGTAAGTGTTGTTAAACCAATTAGGAGTAGTGGCCATAGTGCTATGAAATTCAACACACACACACACAAAATTGTTTGTTATATAAATATTTAAAAGGCTTGGTTTTTACAGTAACATGTTTTTAATATTTTTTTGGGAGCTGCCCAGAGTAGTTGGGCCAGCCTGGTCAGATGGGCAGCATAGAAATAATAAAATTATTATTATTATTTTAAAAAAAATAATTTCATTCATTTAATTCATCGCCATTTTATAGAGGTAGTGAAGTCCACCAAGTTGGATGCCTTTGAAACTTGATTAGGTCAAAACCATGAAGGGTAAGGCTGTCATTGGTTTCTAGCCATTTTGACTATGTTCTGCCTCCACTGTCAGAAGCAATATGCCTCTGATTACCCGTTGCTGGTAATCTCAGATGGGCAGAGTGCTGTTGCACTGATGGCCTGCTTGTGGGCTTCCTATAGGCATCTGATTGGCTGCTATAAGAATTGGATGTCAGCCTTATGTTCTTAAACTCTGGGGTAAGAAAGTGTATTGTTAAGAAGACCAAAATTAGTTATAAACCACAATTTTGGTTTCTTACATAACGACAGGATAGTTTTTAGCAAAGTCCTCTTCCTGTCTACGTGGGAGGAGGAAAGGGGAGGGGGAGAGCACAGAAGCCTGCTCATGTATCTATCAAATGGTTTAGTGTTATGTGCAAACTAAACATATGTATGTAGGAACTTGTACCTTATATTTCGTTCCTTAGAAGCTATAGTTTGAAAAATGATTCTTGGCATCTGCTCTGTAATGGGAATTGATCTTCCTTCCCCCACCCTCCCACCTGCAGTACTTTTTATAGATCCCCAGGAGAGCTTTTCAGGCTCAACATAACTAGAAAATTGGCTTTTATGAATATATAAATGTGTACAGTGTTTGAGACCTTTTTTAGTTTGGGGATTTGAGTCAGACACAGTGACGATAAAACCTTGGGCCTTAACAGCAAAACATTCATATTGCAGGCCGTTTTTAGCTACTGCTGTAGCTAAACGTTAAGTCACAAACCACATAGTTTCAATTCCTTTTTTGGTGTTCCCTTGGTGGGAATTGAAGGCATGCCATGTTCCTCAATTCTGTTATTATGTGACCTGTGCTGGATGTAGTTACTGGCCTGGAAGACTAAGTATCTTTACAAGATAACTGGCTGCAACAGAGTGATTTATACAGCTGTACATCTGTGTTGGTTGTACTGTTATAAAGTAGTTATGTGTGGTCTGGTTTCTTCAGGCTCATAGCACTGCAAACTTGCACAAGGGCATTCTCCATTTCTTCAGCATCAGCATGGAAGGAACACATATAGACAAGGAGCTGGTAAATACTTCTTTCAAAGAAATAACATTTTAAAGTGGCTAGAACAGAACTCATGATATTCACTCTTGTATGTCAGATTGCGTAAATAATTGTCTTGAAAACCTTTGTAATAGGGTTTAAAATACACACAAATTTAGCTATATAGTCTTTTTATAAACTCCTTTAGCTTTATAACGTGTGTGACTGAAACCTTTGACACAAATACAATTAATAGTACTACTTATTAACTCATTTCTTTAGAGAGGGCAGATTTTTTCAGGATTAATGTATGTTAGGAAATTGTACTAAAATGTGTTAAAAGTAGTGTATTGTGAAATTACAGGTTTCTTGTCTAAACATACCTTCCACTAAACTTTCTTAGCACCCTTCTCTCCTTTATGCACCATATTATAACAATTTTTGTTAAGTCTGTAGTAAACTTTTGACTATGTAAGATTCTTGGCAGGTCATCTGTACATAATCAGGATTAGAAGCTCATCAGCATTCTTTGTGAAACTAGTATCATAGGTCTTTTTCTCAGTATCATGTTCAGTAGAGGATAACTATTTAATTGGAAAACAGTATGGTTTAAAGTTAGTGAGAAAAAGCTTCCTGAGTTCCGTATTTGATAGAAGTTGCAGAACATAGCTTTACTTAAGTGACTTATCAATATGGAGGTATCCAACATTTAAAAAACATGTCTGATTCCAGTAGTCTCCTGGACTTCACTTTTCATTCCCCACTTATCATTCTGTTTTTCTGTCTTCTAGGAAATATATCTTGCTGTAGTAGATAATGTGGTTGCTAACTTGGATATTGATTTAGTATGATTTAAGTCTAACCCTTCGTCATGTTAAAAGATTTTCCATGTGGCTGCATGTAAAGAAAATAGGTTTGAGAATCTTAGAAAGTTTCTCAGTGGTATATCAGCTTTTGTTACATGAACAATTGTAATATAAAATCAGGTAAAGTCTGTCCATATTTGTAAGGTTTTTTTTAATGTTTCTGCTTGTGCACTGGATGATAGAAAGGTGGTCTTTAAGTTTTAGGCTGCTATCCTAACCCCAACCCTGCCTGCCAGTGGAGCCTTGTGTAGTGGTACAGCCACTGCCACATCTGCTACCCAGCCACTTGCGGGGAGGGGGGCAGGGCTGGTGGCAGCAGCCACAGCAGCATGATTGGGCTTGATACTTGCCAGCAAGAGCCATGAAAACAGCTTGTAATCCAGTTCATTCCAGGCCAGCACAGCCCTGCCTCCTCCCTGCCCTTGTTTCATGCCGTTCTGTTACGAGTGTGTACATGGATCCGCATGTGCACAGCCAGCACTCATGTTCACTGCTGAGAGGTTTAGGATCTTTTCCTGGAGTTATAATGTGTGCTTGTTATGGATGTGCTTTAACCCTTAATCTTATGCCCACAAGAAGCTCCCACTCAAAGAAATGAAGCTTGGTTTATTATATAAAACAGGAGCGACAAAATATATATGAAACTGTTGCTTAGACAGCAAAGTTACAGGCTACGCAGGTAGCAAATTACATTACATACTCACCTTAATTAAAGAGTAAAAGGTTCCCTTATTCTAAAAGCCCTACAGAAGCTGCCCTAAACCTGTGCTAGAAGGAGTAGGGAAACAAAAGTATGCTTGTCCTTAAAGTGAAGCAGCAGTGTGTTGAGACCTGGGGAGCGCTGGTTAAGTACTATCCTGTTGGAGCTATGAAGGCCAACTAGCCTTTGAATCTAATAGGTTTTTTAAAATACCCTTTTGCCAAGGCATACTAGTGGAGAGGTAAAGGGTCTGTGAAATGATTGATTCCTACCATTTCCATAATCTCTTCCAGACTTTCCTGCCTAGTTCTCACCTTGCCCATCTTTGGTCATCCTGTTCCTGTTTGCTTAACAAAAGGGTGAAAGACTTTGATGGTATCTGCACCTGCCCATCTCTGCCTGCTATCTGCCTTTAAATCACCTTACCATTGTGGGGATGGATCTCACTGAGGAGTTGAGTATCATGTACTTGAAAACAAAATTTGCATGTGTTAATCTTCTGGTCAGATGTGGGTGAAGGCAGCATATGCCCAAAATGCGTTTCAGCAAGAGGCTGGAGTCTGGCTTTTTCCATGGTCACCAAAGCTCATCATGAAGGGTCTCATGTCATATTAGAGATCTGTCAATCTTATACTTAAGTCATGATCTGCTGAGATAAACCATATCATAAATTCAGATTAACACACACCTCCTTACATTTCCACTGGTGAATAACCCTCCAGCATGCATTGTGGCCACCTGTTCAGCAGATTTTCTTCTGAGTCCAAACCCCTTACTGCCTGGCATAGTGGGATGGGGGTGGATTGCCATGCCTTAAATACAAGTGTGTAAAAGTGTGTACTTGCTGATTTCTGCTGTCATAACATACACCCTGGTGAAATCCCTGTCAAATATAAACATGTACAGGTAGCTGATGAATTGGCCTTAAGTGTAATGCTACTTTTTGCCTTTAATGTAGGTAGTTTAGTGTGCATTTTTCACAAAGCAAAAATATTACGACAACTTTAGTTTTACATTACACATCTGTTAGATGAGCATTCTTTCAGCTGACAGCATTAGTTCAATTAAAAGTTGTGGTGTTTTTAAAAGTGATGGTAGAACACTTAAAGTTATTTGAGAATGCTAATCAAATTAAGGACATGCTTTGATCAGAATAAACTTACATTTATTTTAAGGTATCTTACTTTTCTTAGAAGACTCGCTGATTAATATTAAACAGTGCAAATGGTTGGTGAAAATGCATACTTCAAAGTGTTTCTGCATTTTATGGATCCTCTTAGTTTCTCCTTTCTGTCTCTGTTCTGATTTAGTTCTATTGCCTTCAGAGAATCAGATTCCAGTCTGTTTCATCTCAGTAGGAATTGCACAGACAATGAGAAACTCCTTCCCTATTTCCCCTTATATTTGCTTCAGTGTTAAAATGTCTTGTGGTAACCTCAGGTGGGAGCTATGATGTCAGAAGCTTACAAACACAGTAAGATGAATGCAAATTAGGAGTGCCATCTGACATGACTGATGTAAGTAAGTGCAAAGCTGATTGTAATGGCACAAAAAATCCATAAGTTTATCTGGACTGCGACAGCCAGGAAAACATTCCTGGAATTGTGGAAAAATGCCTGGAACAACAGGCATTGTTGAAGCATCTTCTATACAAGGGAAGGCTAATATTAATTGGGGCAGTTTTTTGTTTTTGTTTTTTTAAAAAAGACAACAGATGGGGCAGGTATGCTTGAGATCGATAACATTTTGAACAGTATGAAGAGAGAGAAAGTTGTTTTCCTTCAACAATACTAAAACTCAGGGTCATGCAATGAAGCTGATTGGCAGCAGGTTGAAGGTTTTTAACATGATACATGGTTATGAAATTCACTACCAAATGATTTTGTAAGATCCAGTATCTTAAACAGCTTTAAAAAGTACTAGAGAAATTCTTGGTCACCATATTACCTATCATGCTGCATTTTTTCAGCAAACGGGTCTTTATTTAAGTTGAATTTTTGCCTAATTCTATTGTGTCAGAACATGTAACAGCTTGTAAAGACTGCAAAGCCCCTCTTATTCAGCTTTCTGATGAGTCAGTCCTTTTTCTGCATGGAATTGGACTACTGGGGAAGCTAAATAGGTTCGTATAAACCTCACTAGCTTTCAGTTACATACTTTTCAGACACAGATAAGTATAGTAAGAGAGACACAGAGCAGAAGGTGACTTTCATGATGTGTCCTAGAAAGCTGCAAATTCAGCAATGTGTTGAGCGAGTTTTACTTGCACGTTATTAAGTATTGGAAACCTATGTGACTAAGTTCTGTTTATAGCAACAGATATAGTATATTGAAGACTAAGGATTATAGTTTAAGCAGAAAATTAGTTCCTAACTCAGAGGTTTGTTAATTTCAAGTTGTTTGACAAAAAAACATTAAGAATGGGATTAAGGCTACTATTACTTCATGGAATAATCTCAGTCTCAATCTCAGTGTATTTGTATTGTAATTTTTAAAAACAGGCATGCCTTTAATGCCTTGGGAAGGTTTACAAGGGCACACATGCCTTTCAGTAATCTAATCTATAGACAGGCTGCTTTCACATGATATCATTTTGAAGGCCACTTCTTTATGAGCGAGCTGGCAAAGAATGCCTGTTTCATATTTGTCAAAATTACAATGTTGGTATAAACAGCATTCTAAAACACATTTCCCCCCTCTGGCATAGTGTAAGCAGTTTCATTGCCTTTAATTAAAGCAACATTGCAATAATCAAACCTCATAATGTATTGAAAATTAATCATCAAATGGTAGTATTAATAGCCAAATAAGAGAGGGAAATGTAAATACAAATACAAATGTAAAAGCTTGTGGAACCATACAACTGATAAATAATTAGCCTTCAGTCCTTCCTCCTGAATTAGAACATTTTTATGACTCCAACCTGAAATGAGAATTTATGTAGGCTGTTTTTGCCTTCTCTGAGTTAATAAGATAACTTCATCATTTGGTAATGTCTCAACATTGGCTCCACTTAGTTGTGGTTATCTTTTTTTTATTATTATTAAAGATTTCTTAGTTCACAAAAATACGTGCATTGTCTCTTTTTTCAAGTTTTCAAGTTTTTCAAGTTGTGTTTTCTACAGATCAGTTTCATTTGTTGTGAGACTTTAGTATTGCATACAATGTTAGGTTAGGAAGAAAAGAGAGGGAAAGAGGGGGAAATGGTGAGTTGGGTGGGGTGGGGTGGCAATGCTTCTATTCTTAGTGTATGTGTGGGGTTTTGTTTCAGTGTCACATGTGGGTTCTTTTACTATTCGCTTGCTGTATTTCCTTGGTGGTGAGAGAGATTGGGGATGGCCTAGGGTGTGGTTGGTTGTCTTTGGTTGGCTGTAGTTGTGGCCATCTTAAATTTGTGGTGCTTTATGCACCCCTCATCTAACCTTAATATACAATCATACCTTGGGTTAAAGTAGCTTTGGGTTGAGTGTTTTCGGGTTGTGCTCCGCAGCGACCCGGAAGTAACGGAATGCGTTACTTCCAGGTTTCGTCGCTCGTGCATACGCAGACGCTCAAAATGACGTCATGCGCAGACGCAGCGAATCACGACGCGCAGATGCAGGTTGTGCTCACTTCAGGATGTGAACGGGGCTCCGGAACGGATCCCATTCGCATCCAGAGGTACCATTGTACTTTAGTATTTGTCCAAAGTATGTTAAGATCTTATTTTGAACATTGCACTACTTATTTTTAAAGTTCTTAAATGCATTAGCATTGAATAGTAAGAAGCATAGAATCATAGAATTGTAGAGTTTGAAGGCACACCAAGGGTCATCTGATTCAACCCTTGGTAGTACAGGAATCCTGTCCACAGGCATCCCTGGGTGGGCTCGAACTACCAACCTTCTGGTTAGCAGCCAGACACACTTGACACATGTGCCACAGAACATTAATGATCATTAATGGTACGGGGCAAAATGTAGTTAATTGTGTGCTCTGTTTTTTAAAGCGTAAAAAAGCTGGTAGGCGTTTAAAAGTTAATAGATAAAATTTTTTTAATCTGAATGCACACAAGAGTTAAAAATGCTACATAATTAAACCTTTTCTCAGGTGATACCATAGCCTATGGCAAGAATGGTGAATCTGTAGTTCTTCAAATGCTGTTGAGTCCAGTTGTCCAGCAGCCCTAGATAGCTAGTGGTCAAAGAGGATGAGAGTTGTAGTCTAGCAACATCTGGAGGGTCACAGGTTCTCATCTCCTGGTATGCGCAGATGACTTTGATTAAAAATAAAAAAATAAAATTATTTATACCTGTCTTCTTCCCTGACGGGACTCAAGGTGGCTTGCAGATAAAAATAAGAGCTACTAAACACATAGGGAAAAAACCATGAAAACACAAATAATTGATAGAATTAAAAATTATATGCATATATAAAATATATTAAAACTGTACTGATAATTATAATAAAAACATCATGGCACCAGTCTTTTCATTAAAAGCAATTTGTTTTTGAAGGCCTGTTAGAACAACGAAGTCTTCATCTGCTGGAGGAAGGACAACCAGGAGGGAGCCAGTCTATTTTCTCTTAAGGAGTGAGCAGCCACCAAGAATTCTCTCTCTTGTGACACTACCAAGCATGCAGTCATGATTGTGAATCATGTCATAACTTTATATGTAACCTAAAAATTAACTTTTTTTCTGGCATTCTCCTTTTAGGGGTATCTAGCAGTATTTGCAAGATGCACTCTCATGACGGTTTTTTTCTAGAAGAAAAGAATTTTATCTTTTGTAGAGAAGACTGCATTCCACTCTAAGGCAAAAATGCTGGAAATAGAGGTAGTAATAAGGGGAAGAATCTGCATTTAATAATTTTAGTTATACTTAAGGCTTAGTTAGAGAGAGAGTGTGTATGTGTGTGTATATATATGTAGAGAGAGAGAGAGAGAGGGGTAGTAATAAAGGGAAGAATCTCTCTCTCTCTCTCTCTCTGTGTGTGTGTGTGTGTGTGTGTGTGTGTGTCTGTATGTATATGTGTATATGTGTCTATCTATCTATTTATATCTATATGTATCTATATTGCCCTCAATGTTTGCCCACCCTTGGCATAGCCTCTATTTCTAGTGGGGTCTCCCTTATGTCACATTTTAGACTGTAAGCTCCTGAGAGCAAGGATTTGTTCTCTTAATACCGTGTAGAGAGTCATGCACTCACTAAATAAATGAAATATTCTGAGCATCTTAGCTGTTTCTATTGCTAGATTATATGATACAAGCAGGATTTTTGCCTTAGAGTGGCATGCACTCTATATATATGGCATGACTTGTTTTTGAGAAACCTGTGCTGAGTCTTAGTAATCACAGCATTCTTTTCTAAAAGCTCACAGACCGGCTTTCTAATTATCTATTCTAGGACCTGGTATCTATGTCAGTAGTTACCTGCGTCTTCTTTCTCCCCTTTTTGAAGATGGGAACGTTTGTCCACCTCCAGTCCACAGGGACCTTATCTATTATCCAAGAATACTCACAGATTATAGACAGAGGTTCCGAGATTACATCTGCAAACTCTTCTAGTACCCTTGGGTCCAGCTCATCAGGCCCTATTTATCAATATTGACTATTTTTCACTTACACCAAATTTGTGATGATGGGGGTATGTGATCGCCAGGCCCATTAGTAGTATGGGAGGAGGGACAGGGATGGCTTGTGCAGCCCTGCAACCTTTCAATGTGTATGGGTTGTCTTGAACCCACTTCATCCCCATAAGGGCCTGATGCAGAGAGGTAGTTATTTGCGTAAATCTGCCCAATGAGTTTTTGGCTAAGCCGTGATTGGAACTGTGGATTTTGTGCCTCTTGGCTTTCAGGTTTTTTTGAGTATGATTCTTTCTCTTCCTCCCTCTTGCCATTCTGAATCTTAAGTCTCTGCAATGCTACACTATTGCCAACTAATTCTTAGGTTTTTGGAAGGAGAAATATCTACAGCTTAACTCTTTAAGAAATGTTGGAAGCGAGTAGCTAAATGGAAAACACTTTAATGCAGATTTAAGCTACACAATCCGTAATACGGAAATGCATTTAATGTTTAACTTGGCAGAAGTAAAAAGAGAGAGATATTATGTGCAACATAATGTCTTTCTAAGGTCATTATAAAAATTTGTTTGCTAAATGCACAGCTTGAAAAAGAGGCTATATTTGTGAAGCTTGTTTTCACCCAAAGTTTTTAATGTTTCCTTTGAATCATGGTAGTTTCCCTTCCCTGTTATAGAAGATGCACAGTCTGTTACTCAGTAACTCTTGTTTTCACATGCTAGACAAGCTTACACAAAACTATTTAGTTGGACTATGGCAGGCAGTTGAAAATGGGGTATAAAACTGGTTTTCATTCCACTCAGGCTTTCTGGGCAACATGATGACTTGCCAAAAAACTTATACTAAAATATGCAGTTCCAGAAAATAACCCTGTGTTCTCAGTTGTTCCTAACCTTCTGAAGATGGTATGACAAGCAATTTTTGTCATAGTCATTTCTAAAATGGAAACATAAATATGTAGATGTGATTATAGTGTTAAACTGGATGTCTGCTCTGTCTTTTTTAGGGTCATGATGAAGAAGCTGTTGTGGATACGGGCAAAATCAGCTCTACTATCAACACAAACTTTGAGAAAGAAGAACTAGAAAGTAAGTATATATTTTCAGTCTCGTTAGGATTGTTATTTTTCCCAAGTTCAAAAGTAAAACATGTTAGAATCCTAGTGCTGCACTTGTGTTATCTGGTTTGGCATGGTTGTATTGATGCCATTTGAAGTCATGCCTGGGATTTCCACCTAAGTTGTTAGTGTGCATTGCATCCAATATGCAAGATGAAGTCAGGTACAATTACCCTTTCTCCTTTCTAGCTCTATGCTTAGCCATCCTTTCTAGTGAAAGAGACAGGATTTGAGATGCTCTGAGAACCTCAAGAGAGCACAACACCAAAAAACCCCCTCCTGCAATCATCTCCAGTTTGGAGTAGAATCAGGGGTCAGAGAGTATCCCTGCAGTTGTGCTGTGCTTGGGATGTGCTTGTTGAATGGTTTAAAGGGTATTAGGATAGCTACTGATTTAAGCTCTCTATGATTTGCTGAATATGTTGAAAATATTTGTAACTGGTTGTGGAAGAGAAACAAACTTATACAGGTAACCATGTAAAAGAGAGTATGCTATACGTACAGGAAGAAATCTAATTAAGAGACTTGCACTGTACAACAGTGAAAGCTGTCTACAAACTCAGGCACACACTTTACTAAGAACACTTCACGCAAAGAACTTGAAGATGTTAGTTGGACAGAAGACAATGATGCCATTTTGTGAAGTGAGCAGTCATCTAGTATTTGCTTATGTTATGGTTCCTGATGCATCCTTGAAAAACGATGGCTTGTGCCATCTGCTTTTTCCATGGCATAAGTCCAAACAAAGCTCCTTAAGAGGGGGCTGCACTTGACTTTTACTTAGCTTCACTTAGGTTTTTCTTTGCCAGGTGTAACCGTGTTTACATTTAATAGTTCTATTATCTCGGATATGTGATACTATAAACTGTGTTCTTAATAATAGTGGCAGACTTTTCAATCTGGATTTCTGCTCTTTGACAGCAAAATATTCTTCCGTTTTTCTGTGTATGTAGGTTTAACATGTTAGCATAATGGAGAAATCCTTGAACATGTGTAAGAAAATGCCAAAGCTAGATTGCAGTTTTAAGCAAAAATTGTTTCAAGTAGGCTCCATTGAAGCTAGAGTGCTATGCTTCATAGTTAATGAGTTTACAAAAGAGGTATTATATATATCTGAATGAATAAAATCAAGAATGAAATTGTAATATTGAGTTGCCAGAGAAGGTAGAGGTTTTTTTATGAGACGATCCTTTGTTAGCGTAAGAATTTTCTGGGTGTTTTTTTTAAAATATAAGATTTTATGTTGCATATTACTAGCTTACAGGTATAATACAGTAATTATATAAAATTATTGGATAAAAAGTAGTGAATTGCTTTTTTTAAAGTGTATTCTGATGCTATGCAAAAATCAGCTGATATGGAATTGCCTTTAATGTATTTTGTTCATTTTCTACGTATCATAAGTTTTCCATGGTGTGTGGTCTGAGTATATACAGTAGAATAAGTAGTGAGCACCTTTTAAGAAATTTTAAAGTGACACCATTAATGACCTTAACTGGTAAATACCATTTGTGGATTTTGTCAACTAAGCTTGGATAAAGTCATGTCTGATTAAACCAAACAACTGTCTCTGGAGCTATGTATACTAAATTTAGTGTCCTTCATTCTATTAATGCTGTTGAGTATTGGATTAAGCTAATTCGGTAACAAGCTTTGCTTGGGATTAGTATGGCACAGCCATTGTGGAAGTGGGGTTTCTGAAGGTCATTTAACAATTCAGCAGTATCCTTTGGACTATAAGGATTTTTTTTGTATATGACTTGAGACCATGGAATTTAATGGAATTACTTAATATTTTTACATATGCATATGTTCCTCTTCCCCTCTATCCCCCCTCTCTCCCACATACCCAGAGACGACATTGGGCATCATATCTTCTTTGCAGTATGCCTCGGTGAAATGTGGAAGTAGTTTCAAGTTTTTGATGAAGGGGATACTATGGTTAATTAGATGCTTCTAATTATTTCATTGTGGCCACTACGAAGGGGAGAAGAGAGAACAGGCTGTGTATACAGGCAAAAGGCTCATTTATATCTCGGTTCCTTAAGCTTGAGTTAGGATTATCTAAATTCACCTGGAGTGTGCCATTCTAGTAGACCTTTCCCCAAGTAGATCTATTTGTGAAGAATTCTTACACACACACATACCAGTTCCTCTACAGTGTTCCTGTGTATATTTCTTACTTTTCAATGTCTATTTTCTTTCTCTTTCAACTGTGGGTGTGATCAAGTTTGCTTCCTGCTTAAATTGCAGTGAAGTCGAACATCCTGCGTTTGACTTAGAAGCCAGGTTTGATGTCAAACTGCTGGCCAGCTGCAGCTGGGAACAGGACTCTTTTTCTGACCTAGACTCAGTAAAAAAAACAAACGCCGCAATTCAGTGAGGTGAGGCTTACAGCAAGTTCTAAATCACCTGCTTTGAAGTTGAGAAGAATACCGATTTTGACGGGGTTCCAACCGACACCAGTTTATTGATTGTGATAGACATTGACAATAGCACACATGGTCTTGACAGTTTCATTACAGGCTAGTTTAGATGTTTGAGTTCAGTGCTGCTTCCCACCTCTTTCTTTCTTTCTTTCTTTCTTTCTTTCCCTAACCCTTCACCCGAGCATCAGAGGGCGGTTTACAACATAAAAACACAAAAATACATAAACACAGTAACAAAAATAATACTCCCTCCCAAGTTTCACTAGCTAAGAGCCTGTGAGAAGAGGAATGTTTCTGAGGGTGCCAGGCGAGCCTCTCTGGGGAGCCACAAGTGGGGAGCCACTGCAGAAAATGCCCATTCTCATGTTGCTGCCCTCTGGACCTCTTGTGGAGGAGGTAAACGGAAGAAGGGCCTCAAATTGTGATGACAGGGTCTGGATCAGTTTTTATGTGGAGAGGTGGTCCTTGATGAATTGTGCCTGAGCCAGCACTTTGAATTGGGCCTGGAAACTAATTGAAAGCTAGTGCAGTCGTGCCAGGATCGGTGTAATATGCTCAAACTATGTTGTTCTGGTGAGCAAGCTGGCTGCTGAATTCTGTACCTGCTAAAGTTTCCGAACTGTCTTCAGAGGCAGCCCTACATATAACACATTGCAGTAATCTAACCTTGAGGTTACCAGAGCATAGGCAATGATAAGCTATTCCTGTCCAGATAGAGGTGCAGCTGGGCTACTAGCTGAAGCTGATGGAAGGCACTCCATGCCACTAAGGCCACCTGAGCCTCAAACTGACGTGCTTTTTTTCTTTAAAAAACTGCATGAGTTTTTCCAGATATTCAGAATAGAAGGATGGGGCAAGGAGATCCTGTTTAATATTTCTCCATGTCATTTTGCAGCTGTGAGGCCACTTTCAGTTCAACAAAAACACTGTGGGGGAAAGGGAACATCTTATTGTATCTAGTTTGGGCCCAGTAATGTATTCAGATTTTAGTATTTGGAAATGTAAAAGCCTGCCTTTTCTGTCTAGAAAATGAAATTGTGGTAGCCTAAGATAGTAAATAGATTACCAATTATCACATGATTTGCATAGTATGTGATTTATATAATAGTGTAATAAATGGAATAAGTAGTGAACATCTACAAAAATTCTAAAACGACACCATTAATGACGTTATTACTATGTACTGTTTGGCAAACTACTGTGGATGTTGCAGCAGCAGCTTTCCTTTATCTATTGGTGGTTGGGCAAGGTGATGTTTGAAGTCCTTAACATATCTCATTATTCTGTACCAAATTCATTTTCTGAGCTGGTACATCCTTTAAGGAGTTCAAACCTTTTCTTGAAAGGGGTCTAGATGTTAAAAAATCAGTGAAGATGTTTTTATTTCTATCCTGATAATGAAAAAAAGAAAATCAATTTGTGCCAAATTGGGACTTCTCTGTTGCCTTCAAATTCTTGTAAATAGAACATTATTACAATGTTCCTCAAATAGCAGGATTGGCTCTTTGTCAACTTTTGGATAATTCATGTGTACTGTATAGTACAACAAGTGTCCCAATCCTAATTTCAAGTCAATTATGTAGTCTGTGGTTGTCTGCTTGATATGCCTAATATGTTTCATAACATTTTTGGTTAAGGTCACAGAGCTGTTTATATTGGTGTGCACGTCCCCTTTGGAAAGCAGGGTCGACGACGTCATAGGCACCGTGGACATAAGCATCATAGAAGAAGAAAAGAAAAGGAAACTGACAAAGAAGATGGGCGAGAATCTCCATCCTATGGTAAAAAAGAAAAAGAAAAAGATAGTTCTTTCATTGTGCTTTAAGCAGCAATATAGTAAAACACAATTTTTGGTTATTTTTAAGAAGAGTAGAATTGACAGCATGGTAGGGTTTTATGGGCATGTTCCAGAGAAATTACATTAGTTAGTTGCCTGTGTTTATACAATGTTCACAAAGCTTATTGCCTCATCATTATTCTTTATGAACTTTTTACGTCAAGAACTTGCACTCTGTACTTGTGCTACATAATCTTAAAATTATTACATCTGGTCAGTGGCTAGTCAGATTAGATTCAGAACTTTTTAATTGTTTTCTAATATAGAGCCTTGAAAATGGTGGGGTTTCAGAAATGTTTACGTGGCTTCTAACTTGATTTTTGTGTTAAATACAAGAAATGTACATGACTACAGATAATGAAATGAATGTAAAGAGAGAAAAGGGGGAAACATTGCGTAACATGAGTGTTGTAATGTTAAAGGAGGAAGTTGTATGATGGAGAGAGTCTGATATCCATAAGGAAGTAGTTCAGGAATTTGGATTTGTGAATTTCAATTTATTAATGCACTCAAAACTGTAGCAAGATTAAAGCCATATAACAAACTTAACCAAACATTCAGTATTATTCAGGAGAATATGCATTCTGCCTGGATTGTCCATATATATATTTTAAATAGTTAATATCCCTGGATTCCCAAGGATCATGTCCAGTTTAATCCATGACAATTGTTGTGACTATGATCATGGAAAGACATGGAGCTAAATGTATGTACTCCCATTTAACATCCAAATGCATTTTGCTGCCTTTGCCATTTTTGTTCAGTGGAAGGTTTTGCTAGAAGGTTAATAGGTTAGAAATGAGTTAATCGAAAATGAAAACGCATCACTACTTGGGTGTTTTGAGCCTTTAAAAAGACTCAAATCAAGTTTGGAAATCTTGGTACTGGAACAAGAGGCTTTATTTCATTCTCAAACCATGATAATCTCCTTTATCTGTTAAGGATTTTTGTCTGTTTTTCTATGCCGGTTATGATTTCTGTTTGTAAAGAAATCTTTCTGCGTAAAGATTAAGTACCATTTCAAATGTTCCTGTATTTACAAACATAGCAGTCATTCTTCTCTCTACAAATTTTGTATATTGCTAGTACACAAGCACAGTTTGCTCAAGACCATATACTACCTTCACGGTAGATGTGTAGAATCATAGAATTGCAGAGCTGGAAGGGACCCCAAGGGTCATCTAGTCCAGCCCCTTGCAGTGTAAGAATCTCAGTCATAGCATACAAGGGGAAGAGAGGGCAGTGCGTGAAGAGAATCATGGTTTAATGTTAATGTGAGCCAGCTTAAAGAATCTTGCTTATATATGGCCAAGGGAAATAGGTTATACATGTGCACCAGTGAGTCTTTGCCTCATGTATGTTTGGCAATGGTTCATAAAACCTTTGTAAACCAGGGACTAGCACATGCCTGTGCACAAAAGGAGACCCTGATCATGGGATCCATTTGTGCAAGACAGATTCCTGGAGTGTGTATTGTATGGGCACTCTTTCATAAATGCTGCAGTCCGACTGATCTCAGTGAGACCTAGCCATTGCAGAGTTTCTGCAAACAGTGCTCTGTTTTGTTTCAAATTAGCTGTATGTATTCATGTACATTCATTGCCCACTAAGAACCACTGGAATATGGGGAGCTAAAATCTAAATAATAGATGGTGTTATTTTTCTAGAAAGTTGGTGGTTAAAAAGTAACTTCTCTTCCACTTCCAGCATCAGTGGTTGTCTTTTTGTTTTTAGCAGTGTGAAGGTAAGAGTTTGACAATCTAAAGCTTAAACTAAGATGTGCCCTTCACAATCTTATTTCCATCAAGACACACCATCCCAGAGGGTACAATTTATCCTGGGTACCGAGGATGATGATGAAGAACACATTCCCCACGATCTATTCACTGAAATGGATGAACTTTGCTTTAGAGAAGGAGAAGAATATGAATGGAAAGAAACTGCCAGGTAACCAATGAATATTCCTCGTCAAATTCTCTCACTGATGATTACAGCACAAAGAGACTTGGCCCTCCAGTTTACATTAAGACAAGTGGAAATCTGTTTGAAGTGCCTGATAAGTATTCCTTAACACCTAAGCATACTTCTCCTAGCTCCACGGCTGTTGATGCTACTGCTTATTTTAAAAAAAGATATTGCTCACTTTTATATAAGGGTGCTGGTGTCAAGTGGTAGGGTGGTTGAGAAATGAAGGATAAATGAGGCTGTAATCCTGTACTCTTTTACCTGGGAGTACGTCCTAGTGAGTTTAGTACGGCTTACTTCTGAGTAGGAAAGAATACGATTGTACTGTAAATATTTTAATAAAAGCAAACACTTAAATTATAGAATGTATGGAAAGAAGATTCTGAGAAGCAGGGCCAAATGAGAGATTTTATGTATTCTTATTTAGTTCTTTTTGTTGTAAATTGCCCTGGGGCCTGTGCAAAGAGCGGTATATCAATCATCTAAAGAAATACATAGATTGTAAATAGCAGAGTTTTTTAAAATTAAAAATAGTTTTTATTAAGGTTTTTTTGTGTTTAAATAGCAGTATTTTGAAAAATAACGACTTGTTAGTGTGCATGTAGCTCAGTGTATTTTCGTTTCAGATGGCTAAAATTTGAAGAAGATGTTGAAGATGGTGGTGATAGGTGGAGCAAACCTTATGTGGCTACCCTGTCTCTGCACAGTCTCTTTGAACTGAGAAGCTGTATCTTAAACGGGACAGTCATGTTGGATATGAGAGCCAGTACGCTGGATGAAATAGCAGGTAACAGCCAGTTTTCCTTTAAGATTTTTAAAATTTTGCTTGTGTAGATCTAGTTCTAAAACAAACAAACAAACAAACAAAACAAAGCAGTTTTTCAGTTATTCTGTCTAAGAAAGAAACACGATAAAGGCAAAAAATTTCCCACCATTATACTTAAAGCTTGAAGTTAAAAGTCCTGCTGATTAACTGTGTTTCATTAGCAGATAAGGGCCATGCTAAAAGTTGTACTTGCTTTAATTTTCTGTAGCATAATGTTGTAACACTAAAAAAATCATTTTATTCCGTGTGTTAGCATAAATCTTAACCAGAACCTCTCTGAGGCTGGGGTATTGTCACTGGGGGAGATAACAAGATGGTTCCAGCCTGAGGGTTTATTGCAGGGCTTCGTTGCTTATTCTGTCGCTCTGCTACATATTTTGTTGGCAGCAATTTTAAGTTTTGGGATTAAATCTAAGCAAAAATGTGCCTCATTCAGAAGAAATCTGGACATTTCCAAATAAGGACCACATTGTATACAGTATGATTGCATCTTGTGCACAATTCACTTGCGTTATTTCAACCTTGTGCGGTTGAAAGACAGCTGGTTGAAATTGCACAAATTAATTGCATGCATGGCGGAGAGCTTAAAAGCTCTTTTTGTGCTGGGTTTTGCTGGCACGGAAAGAGCTTTTAATGGCTCTGCCTTGTATACTGGGCAAGTTCTGCTCAGTGCATGGACTCTGGGATGCTATCATGAGATCTCGCAGGAGCTTTGCATTGTTTAGAAAATGCTTGCTTTATAATCTTTAACCAGAATCATCATTTACCAAAGGAAAGTCTTACGGATTGCTCTTAATGTGGAATTTGACTTAAATCAGCTTCAGGAGGTCACTATATTTTTGATTTAATCTTTTTCTCTCTATAGATATGGTATTGGATAACATGATAGCTTCTGGTCACCTGGATGAATCTATGAGAGACAATGTCAGAGAAGCTCTTCTGAAGAGGCATCATCATCAGAATGAAAAAAAATTCACTAATCGGATTCCCCTTGTCCGATCCTTTGCAGATATAGGCAAGAAACATTCTGACCCTCTCTTGCTTGAAAGAAATGGTGAGATAAGTCATGGCATTCAGTTTGTTTTAACTTTTAACAAATTTAATGCAGAGATGTGAGAAAAGTCAGCACACTTGAAGAAAACAAGTTCATAATTCATTCCTGATATATAAGGAGTTGAGTAAACATTTGTCTGTAGAATTAGTGACTTTGTCTTCATGCCTTTTGATCTGTAAGAGTTGAGAACTGTGCTTACACCACTGAATATATGGATAGATGCTTGTGAAACCAAGGCTTATGAATATTGTGTCTTGTTTTATTATATACCTCCTATTTTCTGGCTCTTCCTGTTTTATGCCTATGCTACTGAATTTTATAATAAGTCCATTTTTCTTTTAGGAATAATCAATAAATGATATTTTGGTGAGGAAAACCACACTGCTTTTTATCTAAATGATTGCCTTGGTTTCTCCTGTTTGCTATTCTCTGTATGTGCATGTGTTTATATTTGCTTATAATATAGAATCATTATAGGATAGTCTGATAGTGTGCTTTTTATTTACTGAGTGGCTCTTACATTTGGTGTTTCATTTCTGTTGGTGTGGTTTCTGATGCTAAAAAAAATAGAGTCACTGCTCAGGTAATTTCAGGTAATCAATGTGTATCTCATTTTATATTGCTATCTATACTCTTAATTAGAATTATCACATATTTGACTTTTCATGTGTGTATATTTCAAATTGCTGATTTTGATAAAACCTGCCTCTAAAGATATTGAGTTTGGTAGCTCCACAGCAAACTGTTGCATTGTTATTAGGAGCCTGTAATCAGTACAGAGTCTTTTTAGGCCCTAAACCTAGTATTTTTCTTCCATACCTTCCTGTGGGGACGTGTTTTTAAAGTAGGAAAAACAAAGGTTCACATACTGTTGACACCCTAGGTCAGGATAGTGACTGTGTTTTTATTTTGCATGTTGTACTTCAGATACTGTACTTTCTTGTTTTTCCCAGAACTTGTTTTGCAGAAGGTGCTTATATGTCTGCTTTAATATATATAGATTGCTTTATCATAAGCATAGCACTTAGATGTTTTGCTCAGTTCTCTCGGGATCTTAAGCAGTCACCAGTAATATATTTCTCCTTCCTTCCTTCCTTACCTTGTAGATATGTGTACATATAAGCTGACTTTTTTAACATCGAAAATTCTGCTTAGCTCTTATGTTTTGCTTAAGTCTTATCTCACCTATGACTGAGTGATGTTTTGTGTTTTTAGAGTTTTGTTATATAAAATATGAATAACTTGTCTTCCTGCTGAACATTTTTTTTTATCACTTTATTTGTTTTACCTCAGGGGAAGGCCTTTCAGCCTCCCGCCACTCTTTACGAGCTGGTCTCTCTGCCTCAAATATTTCCCTGAGAGGAGAGAATCGCTTATCCCTTCTTCTCAATTACCTTCTTCCTGGATCTCCAGCCGTCTCAAGGAGCGCAACCCCTTTACCTACCCCACAAAGCACTCCACCTTCCAGTCCTAGGTGCGGTCACAAGGGAACCACAAATTTACCACCAGCTGAGCACCAGGGTGCTGAACTCCTAGTGTCTCCTTCTAGTGATGATATCCCTAAAGTAGTAATTCATCCACCTGAGGAGGATTTAGAAGCTCAGGAAAGCGAGGAGAAGACGACAGAGGATAATAGTGACATAATACCAGGCAACTATTTGAACTCAAATTGTCCATGTGTGGTGCTTTCTGCAGCTGAATCACGTCCACTGCAAAGTTTTTATCACACAGCTTGAGCAATCATGAGTTGTATATCAGTCTGTCACTCGTTTGCATGCTTCATTTCTTCTTGTGTGATATTTTCTTGTGTGATACTTTAGTCAGTATTACGAACTAGAGTTGACACTGAAATATTAACACAAGTATTAACACATTGAAAGCAATGAAATATCTGAGTATTTCTCCATACTTTTTATGTTCATAACCTAAAGGAATTCATTCAGCAAGTGCTTCTGCCTTTAAAAAATACGAAAGAAACAAGCGAGTTATACATTATAAACTTGAAACTAAGATACCAAATGGTGGCCTTTTACTACTTTTTAAACCTCGTAATTTATAGTAGGTGATGTATACTTCAGCACCAGAAGATGCCAGTTACCTTAAAAATTATGGTCTGTTCTTTGAAAACACAGTAACATGCTGTACCCAACTTGAAATTCCTACTTCAGGGTAATAAACCAGTTCTTTCCTGTTTAATTTGAAAAGGGCCACTTTAACTGTAGCCAGCCCCCTTTTAGGAATTGTAACAAGGAGAGGATTGTGCAACAGCTAAGGGGGCATTTAATTTTTCTGAATTAAATGGGTAAGAGCTGTCAGTTGCTAGTGTACTTGAACTCTAAACTCCATTGGTTACAGCAACACTTTATACCTGTAAGATTGATGTGGATGCCTTTTGCAGTCCTCAGTGTTCTGGTCTTATTCACTTCCTGCGTGAGACCTCTTGCATCAGTCTCCTGTTCTGCACAGTAGCTTTTTGCACAGAGGTTGAGACTAGGAAGATTGACTACTCTAGCTAGGAGCTTAACATCTGATTATGTGTGTTGGTGTACAGCAAATTATTTTTTCAGGCTATTGTAGCAATCAGTAACCAGCAATCAGTTGTTTTAAGACCTGCGATGTAAATGTAAAGTATGTATATATTTAGGGTTAAATGCTCTGAAAGTCTTCAAACTGCAAAGTCGAATGTACATTTTTTTTTACTTTTGACAGAAGTAGGTCCCCTGCAAATATGGACTAAACATCTCTCTCTTTCTCTCTGACTCACGTTTTGTTGCAGTGCTGTGTAAAGTGTGACGCAGCTTGAAGATGCTTTGTAAGCCATATCCTGAAATTATTGCTTTTCTCTGAGGTTGTTTTATTCAATTGCTTTCCTTTGTTGCTCTGTTTCTTGGTTGCTGTCATCTGGGGGCACTTTGATATATTAGATTAATTTAAACTTTGAGCTTTTTGTTATCTCATGTGAGAAGATATGACCATTGTAGATTTTCATGGAATTGTGTCTTTCAGTAAATAGATAATCTGCTCTGCAGGTATTGGCACTGTCTGGGATCAGACAACACACTGCATAAAACAGTCCTAAGTTTTCTGAACTTGGATTCCACTAGAATACGATGCAAGGGAAATAATGATAATTTAGTATGAAGTAGTGTAACTAAGAGTGGGCAAGCAATTGTCCTAGAGTACATTTGCTTGCCTGCTCTGCTACTGCAGAGAAAGCCTTCTCTTGCATTCCCAATTTACAACAGTAGTGTTTTGTAGAAAACACCCCCCCCCCACACACACCAATTAAGTGGGAAGCCTTGTATTGGAGAAATGGGTACTTCAAGTTTCCTGGTCTAAACTAATTAGGGTTATAAAGAAAATAACCAGCATCTGGAATTGAGCTTGCAAACAGACTTGGAGCCAGTGAAGTTGATTCAACAATGAAGTAATGTGATACCATTTACAAGAAAGATTTGGTTGTTCCCACCATAATGATGCCTCAGTGGTCCTAATCGACAACCTCCAGTGGTGTTTCTGTAGATGTTCAACATGTTGGGGACAAGTTGTAACTCTGTGGCTCACAGTAAGCTAGTGGCCATGGAATTGAGCAGTACCCCTCAGATACCACCTTCTGAGACTTGCCTGCTAGAAAGGACCAGGGATACTGTAAAGCAGTGTCACCAGCCCCAGGAACATAAAAAGCCGCTTGAGACGTTAAGCAGAACCAACAGGACCACACTTCTCTTGTCTAGTTTCTGATATACTGGGCAATCCTGTTGGAGGATGATAAGTACCATCACAGTTCCAAAGCAGGGTTGGAAGCAAGACTGAACCAGCTGAGGCAATTTCTTTTACATTTATTTATTTAATGTTCCTAATGTGGACTGTTTGTTTCTGCACAAAGAGGTGGGTGGTTTTTTTTGCAGTGGCTTATTGAACTCTGTGTTATATACCAGCTCTGTGATTCTGTGATTTCTTGGTAGCCCCATCTGCATCTTGTCATGACTAGGCCAAGGTTCTTAAAAATGCAGTTTTAAAACCATGTATTTCATAGAATGTTACAACAGAGATAACATATTGTGTCTGTTGTCCAAAATGGTGAAACAACAGTTCCAAAATAGTGTACAAGACTAGATGGTAGACAAAGCAGTGAAGCAGAAAAGAAAAAAAGTTGGCATCTTGTAAGAGTTTTAATTAGTAGCAGTAGTAGTAGTAGTAATTTTAATAATAGTAAAATGTGTATATCACCCTTCAAAACTAATGCAAATCCATTGATTTTAATAGGTCTGCTCTGAGTGTAATTTTGTTGGATACCACTCTGATATGTCTTTGAAGTTTATAACAGTTCTTCTTGTTATTGGTTTTTTCTTAAAACTGGTTTGCCACCTTGGGAGCAGATGAAACTGCAGTGTTAACTCCAAATAAAATTGGTTCCTCTTGTTCATGTGTAAAATTAATTCTTAGGATCATGGGTCACATCCTATTTAAAATATATTCTTGCTTTAGTGTTGACTAATGGAAGAGAGATGTAATCTTGAGGCCAGTCTTGTAACAAGCTAGGTGTTTTGCTAGGTATTCTAAAGTATGTTTTTGTGGTTTTTCAGACTCATAGAAAGTATGACATCCCTCTGATGCACGATCCACACACAAAGCATTGGTGGTTAGACACACATTCTTATGTTCTCTTTTAAAAAATAACACATTTTTGTTCTGGTGCATTTTGCAAAAGGCCATCATTTAGGCAACATCTAATTTCAACTTTTTAACAAGTGTTCATTGTTTTTCAGAAGAAAATAACTTGTTTGTGTGGCATTTTTGATACTAATGCACCTTTTGTTTATTAACTTCCACATTCGCTTTTAGAAAGCTGCCACTGTCATTGTGTAACTAAGTGTGTTTTCTACTGATGTAATTTTGAATGGCCCTGTATATTCTGCTTGTAGGACTTCTTGCATCGCCACAATCTGCACCCGGTAATTTGGACATTGGAAAAAGTGGAGAACTTAAAAGCAGTGGAACAGGGGGAAGTAGAGAAAACAGCACTGTTGATTTCAGCAAGGTAAACTATGTCATTTAGAGAGTAGAGAGAGAGCTTTGTGAATTGTAAAGCTGTTTATTTATTCTGGGTTTATGATCATTATTTGTATATTGTTAAAAGCAAAAATTCTAAGTGATTTTTTGTTTGTTTGCTTATTTGAAGTTACTTGTGGCAGATTTCCAATAGATCTGTAATGACTCCTGGAAAGAAATTAAGAATTATGAACACATTTCCATAATTTTCTAGACTGTAGGATTAGCAGCTGATGTCTGTACATTACTTCCTATATAAATGACCAAGGAAATCTCCTACAGCCACAAACGATGACCATGGTTTGTTTTAGCCATGGTTTCTAGTATGTCCCCTACCCCAAGCTGCCTCTTATGCCAATACCCAGTTAATACCTGAACACATTTTGTAGTGCTCCTGGATTGGCATGGCCTCTTCATCACCAGCTCATTTATTATTGGCCAGCTGCAGAAACAGGGTAGAGAACTCCTCCTGGAAATCTCTGGCTACATTTGGTGTGCTTAGAGATAGCAAGAGTCGTGCAGCCTTACGGATGATTCTGTTTTCCAGCCAATATTCCCTTATGCCTTTTGTAGCAAGGTTGTACCCTACTTGGTCACAGTCCAGTTGCGGCAGTGGAAGCCTGGTATGTGCCAGTGCTGCTAAAATCGACACTTTAGGACTGAGTTCAAGTGTGCAGAACTGAATCCTTTAGTATTGGAATGAATGCTATCTTGCAGTGAAGGTTTTAATGCGGTGTATATTTTATTTCCTGGAAACAATATATGACCCTACATTTCTGTTGTTGCTTGAAGCATTTAAGGCTCTATTCCTCCTCCTAGTTTTCTGTATTTAAACCTGCAGAGGGACAAGATTGCATCCACTTGTTTTATATAATTCAGTTGAGCAATGTAATTACTAATTTAAAAGTTGTCTGTGAATGTGCATCTTGTAAATTAAATGTAAACGAAGTTAACTTGCGTTTTAGTTAATCATGGCAGATGCCACTATTCCTGCTCCTCTATCACAGTTTTTGTGTTTTTACTTGGCCTATTCTTCTCTGCACCTGCCTTGTCTCCTGTTGGGCAGGAGTCTGCCTCCTGGCACTGTAGTTGTGGCACACTTGGTGTGGGACTCAAGAGGCCAGCTGTAAGTTTTATTTCCTAGATAGCTGTGTAACTGGTGTCTTAGTTTCAGTGATCTTTGTGTATCTGTCTGTATGTGAACCGATAGTTCATGTGCTGTACAATATGGTGGTATTCTTCTGTAATTATATACACAGTTTGCACAATTAATTTATTAATAAACCTTATACAGTGGTGCCCCGCAAGACGAATGCCTCGCAAGACGGAAAAACCGCTAGACGAAAGGGTTTTCCGTTTTGAAGTTGCTTCGCAGGACGAATTCCCCTATGGGCTTGCTTCGCAAGACGAAAATACCTTGCGAGTCTTGAGGTTTTTTTCGCTTTCCCCCTTTATCTAATCTGCTAAGCCTTTAATAGCCTTTAATAGCCTTTTAGCAGCTAATCCCCTAAGCCTTTAAGCCTTTAATAGCCGCTAAACCGCTAATAGCGCTAATAGCGCTAATCCGTCAATGGGCTTGCTTCGCTAGACGAAAAAACCGCTAGACGAAGACTCTCGCGGAACGGATTAATTTCGTCTTGCGAGGCACCACTGTATATATATATCAATAGATACTTCTCCAAATCTAGTTTTTCCCCTCAGGCTGATTTTATAAAATGAAAGAACTTTGTATATAACTGCAGTGACTTTTTAGTGATATTTGTAGATACCAATAATAAAAACTGTTTTTTAAAAAAGTAGTTGTGTTTAAATATTTATACTAAAATATGCAACAATGTGTGCAGATATGGTTACATTATAAAGGTATTTCTGAAGCTTCTTCTGACACACATTTGTTCCTGTAGCAACACCATAGTGTTCTGTTCACAACAGTCACATACCATTAATCCTAGTTTTAGAAACACTTTTAGCATTAATCAACTGTAAACTAAGTAGCTATTTTTAATCCTTGTAAATAGGTAGATATGAATTTTATGAGGAAGATTCCCATAGGTGCAGAGGCATCAAATGTGTTGGTGGGAGAAGTGGATTTTTTGGAGAGACCAATTATTGCTTTTGTGAGGCTGGCCCCCGCTGTACTTCTCTCAGGCCTTACAGAAGTTCCTGTTCCTACCCGGTAAGGAAAATCTTACATATAATAAAGCTGGAATTTTGTATTTGTATAATACGGTTTTGACTCTAAGCTTTTCAGGCAGAAATTCTTAACTGAGAAATACTTCCTTTGCTGCCACCTCCTTGTTGTTGTTTTTTACTTTGTGCATTGGTGTGAAATACTGTAGGTACATTTTATTTCATTTAAAAAAAATAAATGGAAATGGTAATCTGCTGCCACTAACTGAGCTAGACACTGGGCAGCCTTCCAGTTCCATATTTATGCTTTCTCACAGCACCTGACATGTCTTCACTGATCACTGATGCTAAAAAAATAAGCTTATCATAGTTCTAATGTCTGATTTCTTGTAGTCTGTTTCATTCTTCCACAGATTCCTTTTTCTTTTGCTGGGTCCAGCAGGCAAAGCGCCCCAATACCATGAGATTGGTCGATCAATAGCAACACTTATGACAGATGACGTGAGTACTAGGCATCCTGTATCTGTTCAAAGTATTCTCCTAAAAATCTGAATGGGATTTTCATTCAAGTAGAACTTGGCATGGCTAATGATTATATGGTGATTGAAGGAAATAGCTATGGAACAAGTATGTTTACCATAAGCATGAATTTATGAATGGTGCGGTGAAATGTGTCATGTTGTGTTTTTGATAAATTCCTAAAGCTGTGTGTGTGAAATAATTACCAAATGAAAGCAACAACTTTTGTGAAATCTGACAGCTATATACATCTCACAGTAATGCTCTTAGATTTTTCACTGTTCCTTCCTCCTTGTGTGGTACAATCCTATGCATGTTAGCTACAACAGGACATATTCCCATGTAAGTGTGTATAGGACTGCAGTCTTTATGAACTTTCCTTTCCTTGCTACTCTGAAACTTTGAGAGATGTTTACTATGTTTAAATATCAATATTATAGGCTTGAAATGTCATTGTCCATGCAAACAGGTGTATATGTACATAAACGCACACACATAACTTGTGTCTTGAGCATGCATTTGAATGATGATCATAGGTATATTTGCATGTAGAATTGAGTATAGAAACAAGTTATTTATTTGAGCCTTTTAAAATAATAACTGTGATGCCTTTCCAGCCTCTTAGAGAAGAGTTTCACCATGTCAGGAAATCAAATATAAGTGTGTATATATTTTATAAAGGTTTTCCATGATGTTGCTTATAAAGCTAAAGACCGAAATGATCTGCTCTCTGGAATCGATGAATTTTTAGATCAAGTAACAGTTCTGCCTCCAGGAGAGTGGGATCCATCTATTCGAATTGAGCCACCCAAAAGTGTTCCTTCTCAGGTAAGAACTTTTCTAGTGAAGGGCACCTTAAAAGAGTGTAGTGGTGTGACAGGACATAGGTGGGATATGCAAACAGCTAAAAAAAAATGTCAAAACTGCATGAGATACACACAGAATGAAAAAGTGCTGGTTGAAACTGAAAAGCACTTCATGGAACTGCTAATCCTTTTGTGAGAGAGGTGGCTAAATGTTGGCTCCTAACTTTGAAGGAAAACATGCTATGTTCAGTATCTGAACGCTGCAAAGTGTGTTTGATTACCCTGAGCTCATGATACAGGATGGACTAAACAGTGAATTGAATGTGTCTAGTTGCTTTGATGAAACGAATTCTGCAAATAGTATATAATTTTTTAACTAAATGGTTACTGTGTACAGAATTTCTCCCTAGATAATACCATGCTAATCAGCTGTTCTGATACAAAAATAATCATTACTTAGAATGAAGCAAAAAGTTTGGTTTTTTCCTCTTGTGAACTTATCTCCTTGCATAGTTAATGATAGCTAAGGTTTTTAATAATCAAAAGATTTTTCTCTCAGAGCCATGTTAAGTGTTGCAGAATAATTTCTCAGTGAATAATTAACGCTGCTTTTTGAAAAATACTTTTTGAGTTTGGCAGGAAAATAGCATCACATGCTCAGTGTGTAGGCCTTTCCTTAGGTGCGAGGGAGAGAGCTTGAAATTGTGCTTGCTGTTGTGGTTTGACCTTAATGCAATCTTTTCATGCATTTCCTTGATACAGGAAAAACGGAAGATACCTAAATTTCCAAATGGAGCTGCTTCTCCTGGAGAGTCTCTTGAAGAAGGCCATCATGCTGGACCTGAACTACAGAGGACTGGAAGGTGTGTGGTGTTTGCTTAAATTCTAGCAATATTAAAGAAGTAGAAATCTAAATCCCTACTGCTTTAGAAATTTGCAGAATATATATTTCATAATGTTTAGTTTCCACCCTTGGCCTGTTTTAGGCACTTAATACTATGGCAGTATTCTTCAGTACGCTTCGGGGAAGAATAGAGAATGTGTCGATGCCTTACCCAAATTTATTTTCAAACTGAAACAGTGCTCAAAGTCTTATGTTTGCCATAGATATGGTTTAAAACCAAAAGTTGTATATAGTGGGCTAGATAGTCAAAACATTTTGTAAAGAAAAACCACAGTGATTTCCTACACATGGAAACATTAGTGATGTCCCCTATCGTCCCTCTTGGCAGAATTCACAGAAAGGAAAAACTTTCTGAGATAGAAGAAGCCATTTTCAAAGAAAATTCTCTTTGCCAATTTGAAATTTCTCTTCACTAAAAAACAACTGTTGAATATGTATCTGACTACAGATTTACAAATCAGTAAGCTTTATCAAATACAGTTAATGGGTATGAAAAATGAAAGATTTAAGGCGTTTAGATGGCTTTTCACAAAAGTTGTTCATCTTAAATAATTTGAATAACTTTTTTGAGGAGCATTATTGAAATGCACAAAAATGATAGTATACTGTACTTTTATTTTTTAATTTAATTACACTCTGTGAGTATAAAAATGTACATAGACACATTTCTTGTGTAATAGTTATTTTAATGGAGATTCAAATGGCTTTCTTTCTAAGAATATTTTTCTGAGACCAAGGTTAATTATTCCCAATATATTTTGAATCCGGTATACCAGTGCTATCAAATGTTTGACGCTTATTTCCATTTTCCTTAAATATTTTGAGATTTCTCTTGATAGTTTCTGCTGCTGTATAAAACCCCTGCCTTTTAATTAGTTGCCCAGAGCTGTATATATTCCACAATTCAGTGCAACCTGGGTATAAGCACAGAACTTGGTACTGGCTGCAGAATTTGTCACCCTGAGAACATTCAGTTTTTCATTAAAAATAAGTTTTGGATCTTTAACATTTCAAAGAGAGGCTGAAAAGTGAATGTGTCATGCATGGTAAAATGTCACAATTCAGAGATGAGACTGAGAGTTATTTCCAAGGGTTGGCAAGAGCCAACTGATGGTTTTAAAGATGTATGGGGGGAAAACTGAAATGCAGAATTTCGAGTTCTTTAGTGCAGTGTATGCACACTTCTGATATTATTGACTTCTGTATATTTTTGCATTTCTTAATATTATTGTAAGCTGCCTTGATCATTTTCATAGCACTGCTAGGACAATTTGTAAAACCTCTAAGGAATAAATGCCAAACACTCTGAACTGAGACTAACACAAATCTGAAATATTTTGTTCTGTTGTATCTACTCCCATCTGTTAACGAGAGCATTAATGACCACTTTTGTGGGAAGTACAGACCATGCACATGGAGTTTTAAAATATCCACAAAGCTGTGGGTTGCATCAAATTATGTTTTGCTAAAAAAAATTAAGAGGGGTGGCTGGTCCATAAGAGCAAATGCAGGGAAACAGAAGTGCTACAGATTTTCAGCAGAAGTTAGATGTAAAATATCTTGATCAATGTTATATTCAGGTAGGGGTACTGAATATTTTCCAAGCTTTTTTCAATGTCTAGCCCATTATACACAAATTATCTGCCAGCATTAAAAACAGAATATCAACTAAGTTTACTTTAGGTACTGAAAATGAGTAGATTAAAATGGTACATTTGCAGTTTGTAATTGTCAGTAGGTTTGGAGTATATGAAATAAGGCTACTTTGTGCTAAAAAAAAATCTGCACTGTCAGTCTTGTGTATCCCATAGTTTTAAGCGTTCTGGAGTCCTTTAGTGTACAGTTTGACGAGTTTCATCTCACCTATTTAGGCTTTTTGGTGGTTTGATACTTGACATCAAAAGGAAAGCACCTTTTTTCTTGAGTGACTTCAAGGATGCATTAAGTCTGCAGTGCCTGGCCTCGATTCTTTTCCTATACTGTGCCTGTATGTCTCCTGTAATCACTTTTGGAGGGCTCCTTGGAGAAGCTACAGAAGGCAGAATAGTGAGTACAAAGAATGGTAGTAGCCAGGCGTTTAGATTTTCAGAGGCAAGTGACTGTGTTCATTTGTCTCCTTTATTCCTACCTTTATTTGAAGACCTTTAGCCACAGCATTTGATTAGCCTTGCCCCCTATTAAATGTTCCTCAAATATTAACTGGAAAACATGGATAAAAATGTGTGTATGAACAGGAGAAGACGCACAGTTAAGGTAAAAATTACTCTGTCTTGATGAATCGTTTCATGGATTGGAAAACAGCTTGCATTGTCTTTATTTTAAAGAGGCCTTAAACTGGCTGTGGAAAGGCTATTGGATCACCTGCCTTTGGACCCACCTTGATTTTCTGCTCAAGGCTGATGTTTCGGATAGCTTGGTTGTTTTATTGGGTAGTGGACCTATAAAAAGAATGCCTTTTTGAAAAAGGTTTTGGAAAGAGAAATGTAGAACTAAGTACTCTGAGCTATCCTAAATGTCGCACATGTGTGTGATAAAATCTAGATGGGCACTTTTGTTAGAGAAAACTGTTTCAGGGAGGAATTGTTTGGAGCAGAAAAGTGGTGAAAAGGTGCTTAACCTTGTCTCTGTCCACCACTCTTCGCTGCAACTATGCCCAACCAACTTCGCCACTTTCTCCCCCCTGGGTCCCAGATGCATTTCCCTGCCTGGTGGGGGCAGGTGGGGCACTATGGGGTTGCAGTGGAAAAGTAATGTAAAGGGAAAGGGTGAAACACCTTTCATCAGCTCTTCTCTACTCCAATTGTCGTTCCTGAAGCTGCTTTCCTCTATAAGAATTTGTTGATGTTTAAATACATATATATGTGTGTAAAATGTTTGGTCTTCTTGAAAATAACTGCCCCACTTTATTTGCAGTTTTACAAATTAACTAAATTCTTAATTGTTTTTGACATTGAATTTTTTGTGACCTTAACCATCATGCTTTTACTGATGATGATTTAGAATGTATAGGCCATTATAACAGCTGATCTAATGGGGGTTAAAATTAATGGAACACTTAAAAACTGTTTTCACGTAAATATTTCATTGTAAATCTGCCTTCACAGTATAAATGTCTGTAATTTTGAAATTTGTTTTTATATGTATTGAAAATGTCAGCATTGCTTTCCATAACAGGTATTCACATTTTCATACAGTACTAATGCTTCCCCTTTGTTAGACTTGACTTTTTTTTTTACATAACTTGAACATTTATATATATTTCTTCTACATTACTGTGGCCCTTTCAAAAACAAAACAAAAAGCTCCCTGTTGTAGTTGCTTGTGGACAATCCACTTTTAGTAACATGGAATAATGAGGTGTAGTAACTGTTAGAAAAGGCTTATAGCATTGGCGCTGAAATACTTGTTAAGCATGTTCTCAAGCAGCTGGTTTAAAAATATGTACCTCCTGCATGTAAATTGAAAAATGCCTTCTTTCTTTTAGCTGTCTGGGATTGTTTGCTGCCTTCAGTTGCTTGGTGTGCATCAGTGAATATATTAAATTAGCTACTGCACACATGTGTTCAAGCACAGTAACTGACTTGTAAGGTACACACTTGTGTTCACACCACTACCCCACATCTCCAGAGGCTGTCACTTCCACAGTGCTCCCGCTGTTGCCATCCTGCCTAGAGAAACCAAGGTTAATGCATTGATCAACCCAAGACTAGGTTATGGTTAACATCTGAAGGATTAGATTGATCTTGTGCTACATTAAGTGGTAAACAATGAACTTTGCTGGTTGTGGGCTTGCTTTTTAATTTTCTTCTATAACTCATTCATAACAACAAAAAAATGCATGTTCTTGGTTACCTTACATTTATTCAAGATACCATTCCATATATCATTTTCAGATGGTTCAGTTTTGAGCTATTTTGGCGTATCTCTCCTGCTGAGTTTTAGGTTCCCTTAACATTAATAGCTTTTAGTGCACTCTGAAGCCCCCTTCAGATGTTGAAAGTGAGCATGTTTAGGAGAGATTGGGGTCACACACGTTAGCTAACAGTGGCTGATGCAGCAGCGCTGTGGGCTCCTGCTGCTCTCCCATGTTCCCAACACCATGGGACACTATTGCTTACCGGGAGGGTTCGGGGGAACTCTGTGATGCAGCAGGTGGCAGTGGAGATAATCTGATACTCCACCACTCATTGCACCATGCTGAGCTCTCTGCACCTTGCCCCTCCCCATCTTGGCAAGTGGCAGTGACTCATAGAGTTGGGAACCTGGGAGAGCAAGAGGGTCCACTCCTGCTGCTGCCAGCCAATGTGTGTGGTCCGCAGGGGCACAAAGTGCTCTAAACAAACAAATAAACAAACAACAACAATTGTTGTTATTATTTTATTATTTTACCCTGCCCATCTGACTAGATTGCCATCAACGCTAAGGAAACCCTCCCCATTGGCTGCTACTGCCATTAGCCACAAAAGGCCTAGGGCTAGTGTATTGTGTTTGCCCCATAATTACCTTAAATAGTTTTGAATACCTTGCAATTAATTACGTAAAGGAAAAATAGTGTTGCCTCCCCCATGCATTTTTAGATTAGTTTGTCTTAAAGTACCAAAATTAATCTTGTCGTTTCCTGTAAATGGGTAACATCCCAGAGGGTGCCGTATTGGAAAACTTGTTAAGAAAATAGCCAGACAATTACAGTATGTTGTAATTGAGAAAATGCATTACCAGGTGGGATGATGACTTACTTCTCCATTTATTTTTTGTGCCCATGTTTCCCCCCCATTTATGTTTAATCATCATTGCTGAGTTGCATTCATTCATTGTTGTGTCATGAGAGTTCAAATATAGTAGAGCACATCGTATTCAATTTGGGTACAGGTTCGTTGCAACATTCTTTATACAGGAGAAGACCCTTTATTTATCCTTTTTCTCCCGAATTTGTGTGCTATATTTGTTGACATGTGCCTTTCTTCCTTAGCATGCCAAATGAGTAACTTATTCCCCTTGTTTTTGGATAGTTTTACTACTTTTAAGCACCTCGAATTCTGGCCATGATACTGCTAAGTGACATTTCTAGTTTAAAACTGTATTACAGCCGATAATGGTTATAATTCTTTCATCGTTCTTGCTGCTGTTTATAAATCAATGTGCATACAGCTGAATTGTTGAATCTTATGTTCTGGGAATCACATGTTTCTTTCCTCCCCTCAGAGTGCAATAGAATCTTTATTTGGAGCATCATTAACTGGGATTGCCTATTCACTATTTGCTGGGCAACCTCTGACAATATTGGGGAGCACTGGACCTGTCCTAGTATTTGAGAAAATATTATTTAAATTCTGCAAGTAAGTGAACTTTCATTCACAAGATATAGTTGCATACCATTGCATTTTTTCTTGAAAGATTATTTTTTTATGTTTGAAGCTTGAAAGTGAAAGTAGGTACAAGGACACCTAGCAATGTTTACTTCTGAAATTAGATATCTGAATGGTAGCCAGAAACCATTATGCTATGTTCAGTGTTGCCGCATCAGAGGAATCTGAAGATGACACTAAAGGCAGATAGAATAACCTTTCTGCAATCAGATGCTAAAGCCTTCTCACTAATTACAATTTTGATTCTAGAGACATGAAGTTCTAAATGAACGACATTTTTATCACCAAAACCTCAAGGTACAAGAATACACTTTAAAAGAGCACACAAAATTATAATAAAAACATGATAGTACAAATACAGCAAATAATACTGAAATAGTTAAAACAAGAGTCTTGCGCCACCTTAAAGACTAACACATTCATTATGGCATAAGCATTAACAGATGGAGACAGATCCAAACCCAGGATATTGTCAAACTTCTGTCTCCTGTTGCATTATATTTAGTTTTACTGAATCCATATTTCTTCTTTCAACAGGGACTATGGACTTTCTTATCTCTCTCTACGAACCAGCATTGGTCTGTGGACAGCATTTTTATGCATATTGTTAGTGGCAACTGATGCAAGCAGCCTTGTGTGTTACATCACTCGATTTACCGAGGAGGCTTTTGCTGCTCTTATTTGCATAATATTCATATATGAAGCACTGGAAAAGCTTTTTCAATTGGGAGAAATGTATGAATTCAACAGGAACAATGACCTGAATAAATTGACATTGTATTCGTAAGTTTGGCTTTCTTAATAAAATACACTGTGCTGTACTAGATTAAACTGGTAGTTCATCTGCCTATTTGACATGAGTTATTTCCTGGTGTTCTATTGTATACAGCAGAACATGGAAACAATGTTGTTTTCCATGCCTATATTGTCCCTCACTTTCCATCGGTTCTGAGGATCAAAAAGCATTTGATTTCTTAGGATAAGAAATAAAATTTCTTGCCATTCTTTAACATCCAGACCGTTTCCCTTTTCATTCTCTTTGGCTGCCTTCTAATATTTTAATCATTGAAAAGAAAATGATATTTTCTGGATCAATCTTAGGCTACCTTGTTAAACCAATTTGCTATTCTGTATTTCATACTTTTCAAGCATTCACATTATTTCATGATAAATTTTCATTTAATTGTCATTTTTTTCCTGGTTTAATAATGGTAGGCTAGATATTGTAAATGTTTATAGCAGCAAGATGAAACACACTGATTGAAATACTGAAATTTTAAACTTGTCAGATGTGTGTGTGCAGAGCCTCCAGACCCCACCAATGAAACAGTAGCGCAGTGGATGACAGCCAACAAATCTGTGGATACTATACCATGGTCTAACCTCACAGTTAAAGTGAGTATCTTGAGAGATGCTGTAGAACTAGTCTAAATAGTCTGAAATAACTTGGCACATATGAGTCTTAATCCTTCACTCTCTATATTGTTGTACTGACTTGAGATCAGGGCTACCAATTTAGATTCTGAACTGTCTGGCTTTTGAACAATTAATCAGTTAAACTCTTTCCCCACTTAAGCAGATGTCCAACAAATAATTAATCATTGATGGAACAGTAGGCAGGACATAAGATGATAATTGGTGTATTGGTTCCAAGGGAATGATTCCCTCTGCTGCTTCTCAGTTTGTTTTCCTGTTTGGGGGCAAGGATAGTTTTGTATATTTCAGAAATATAGTATCTTCCAGCTTCAGAAATTGCCAGTGAAAAGTCTGGAGTGGTAGGTTTCCATGTGTCTGAGACCTGCTTTTGATCTTGCCATGCATAGAAGTTCCAGGCAGAGAAGGAAAATATTATTGAAATAAGTAATGGAAATAAATTTGGGGTCTCTCATCATGTATCATGATTTTTCACTACTTAAAACTATTTTTTAAAACTCTTAAAGAATCCATTGGCTCCCCTTGTATGTGTTTTTATAAGTATGAAGGAGGTTATAGAGGGCAAGATGGGAAAAGGAACATTATATCATTAGATGTTTAGTGAAAAGCAAGTTGCTTCATCTGTTATACAATCTTTGAGCTGAAAATTAATCATGGATGATATTTTGTTGACTCCAGTTAGCTAGCTTGCTCTTTGCAGCAGTCTCAACCTAGTTTCTTACATAATGCAAAAATATGTAGAGTATAGAAAATGAAAATGTTCCTGACAGTTCCCCATTTTTGAAACATAAAGGTGCTTTAAGCTGAGTTTTTTTTTTTGTTCAAATACAGTACAGTTTACTGCTTTGTAGACCTGATGAAGCCATAACACTTGACATTTGGGTTGTACGTTGGATTCAGCTGAGCCTCGAGCCAAACTGGAGACATATTTGGAGGACCATGGGTCTTGGATGAGTTGGATACAAACAGTCACAGATTGCTTTGAGTCAGCTTGGATGGCCCAGGCTGTCAGAGGGCAGGGCATCAGGCAGCAAGGAGAGGCAGGCAGGGTGGAAAAACAGCAAGAAAAGGCCAAGATGTACGGTACCTAATAACAGGTAGCTGCATCTTCCTGGAAGAAGGTAGGCTCAACACTATGGCTCCTGTAGGAAAGCCACTTGCAAAGTGGCACAGCACAGGATCAGATCCTCTTGCTTACCAGTTGCCAGGGCTGGCACTGCCATTAGGCCAGGTGATGCCTAATTGTCTGTATTTCCTCAGAGTTTGGATCTGTTGATTCCTCTATACATTTAAAGAGGGCAGGTGCAAGTTTAATTGCAGATGCGAACAGTTCATCTAATTTGCATTTCTGCATGGCTTGATTTACAGCAATGTACAGATCTTCACGGCGTGTTTGTTGGATCAGCCTGCGGCCACCATGGTCCGTATTTCCCAGATGTTCTTTTTTGGTCCATCATACTGTTCTTTACAACGTTTTTCCTTTCCTCTTTCCTCAAGCAGTTCAAGACCAAACGCTATTTCCCCACTAAGGTAATTGTGGTAGCATTTATTCATTTTGAGGGTTTTCTGGTGCATGCAAGTCCAAAGATGACATTCTGGGTTTAATCAACTATACAACTTAATGGCTCATTTGTGCATGTTAGATGAGAAACTAACCCATTTGAGCAAGTATCCCCCAATGTGTATAGAACTGAAAAGTTCAGGATCACCCATGTAAATGTGTTATATGGGACAAGCTTGTGGCAGCAACTATTGTAAGGACTGATGAGGATGCAGTGTTCTTTAATTAATTGTTCCAAAGTTTTGCTTTGGAGAGGAGTTGAATTAACCATACTTATCATTGGTCAAAGCTATTTCAACCCATAGTTAATTGTTCTAGTTGAGTAAAAAACCCTACAGTTTCAACACTATCACCAGCTCTTAGATTCTTAATAGCCAAGCTTTGCATTTGTAATATGCAATACAAAACGGCAGTACCATTTAAATTGGTAATTATTAAAAGATTGATCAGTGATACAAACATAAGAGGCAAAGCAATTTTTTGGCTTTGTGGCACAGTCACACACCCAATGCAGTTAAATTAGATACGAATAGGATTTTTTTGATTAATTGTGTTTTGGGTGAGCACTCAAATGCTAAAATAATCCTGATCAGAGAAAACCACAATCGTGGTGCTATTTTAAGCACATTATCTTAGAATAAATAGCAGCAAAGGCATCCAAAAAATGTAAAAGTCCCATCCTACTTAGTGTTAACTGTTCCTAAATATAGGCATGCATTAACAATAAAGTGGTTCAGTGTTTTATCTTCTGTGCTGATACAAGGAAGATTTCACGTTATTCCTTTTGCTGCACATGTATGTCCTTTTGAAATTGGAGAGGCTGAGTATGCTTTATTATATATTGCTCATTTCTGTAGAGATCAGATTGAAATTGTTAGATGAAAGGAGATTTTAAATGATCTAACTGGATATTTTGTTTCTGTAGATAATAGATATCTGAGGGGTTGTTGTTTTTTGCAACAACACAGAATTAATTGCAAGGAGACTAAGATTAGGAAAATGTTGATTTAAGGTTTTAAATTTTGGTCCTGGAACATCATAAATCTGATTGTTCATCCAGAAGAAATCTCTTCTTGAAGATAATGAGATTCCCATTTAACTTACTTTCAACTTTTAGAGTAAGTTTATATGCTGCTAGGTTTCAGTAAGTATACATCTCAATAATTTGTATTAAACTACTTCCGAATGGTTAATTATTTGACAATCCCTGTCACTGTGGCAAATAGCATTAATTTGCATTTTTTTAAAAAAAAAAACAGCAACCAGTATATTCTTTCTTTTTAGGTGCGGTCTACAATAAGTGATTTTGCTGTATTTTTGACAATAGTGATCATGGTTCTCATTGATTATCTTGTTGGAGTTCCTTCTCCTAAACTTCATGTGCCTGAAAAATTTGAAGTAAGTATAATAATAATAATAATAATAATAATAATAATGCTGAATCTGAAATGGAATTCTTTAAATACTGCTGCCAAAATGGCTAACTTTTCACTAGGAATCAACTCTATTTATGGTAGTTTTTTAATGAGAGCTCAACCCATTATACTAGCACTGTTTAGAAGCTAGATTGAATGAAGCATATATTGTGACAGAACTGGAATTGACAGATTTGATTTAGGTTTTAGGCTCATGCACTTGAAATTTGTATTTTCTTCCATTGTGCTTAGATATGCACAATGATTAGTGCTATAGTAATCAGTTTTGTGTTTTTGTATTTTTATCTTTAGTTCTCATTTTGTTAATTTGGGGAACAGGTCTCATTGAATGCAGTAAGGCTCTCATCTTGAGTAAATGCTCATTAGCTCACACACTTTTTTGGTATTCTACATCCCAGTAGTGTGACTTCATGCAAAACGGTCCTACTCCCGCTTTGTTGCAGCACAGTCCTGTGAGTTTTTGTGTTAGAGTAAACATGCACAGGATTGAACTGTTACTAAACTTTGATAGTTTATTATCCTGAATACAAGGACATTAGGTGGCTTCTGAAGTAGAAAGGTCCTGTCAATGCAGGATCATGCCGCAAATATAATTAAAACTCAAATGTTACACAGTACTACTTGTTTTAAAAATTATTCTATCTAATCTTTTAATTTTTTGGGAAATGTTAGCAAATAGTATGCATACCAACTTTGGAATTAACACACTTGTCTAATAAATAAGGAAGAAGTACTTAGTCCTTTTGTTACCTCTGTTTTCCCCCCCAAGCCCACACGAAATGATCGAGGATGGCTCATAGATCCGCTGGGACCTAATCCTTGGTGGACACTTGTAATAGCTGCAGTTCCTGCTTTACTCTGCACCATTCTTATTTTTATGGACCAGCAAATTACAGCAGTTATCATAAACAGGAAAGAACATAAACTCAAGGTGAAATTTTGATTATGTTTCCTCATTGTAAATACAAAAGTTAACCTAGTTTCTGAAATAGTAACTTCCTCTGTATACTTTGCAAAGGTTTATAAAATGCTGAAGATGGAGGCAAAAATCTTGTATTCAGATAGTGGGATAAAGCTATTTTTTAATCAGACCAAATTTTTTATATATAAATTGCACCATTTATCCTGGGTGAAATTCTTTTAAAGCCTTAAATGTGTGTCAAAACCTGTGCTAGTAGGTAGAAGAAACACTGATGTGATAGGAATATAATGTTAAGATGAATCATGACTTACTGGTATTGCAAGCACAGCTTGGATCACAATTATATTTTGAGCAGAACCTACTTAGGTGTTTTCACTTTTGCTCCATGATAAGAACCACAAATTTAACATCATTGGCTCCTCCCACAATCAAAAATTAGATTTGATTCTGTTGAGTGCTTTGTTATCAGGGTTCTTACTACAATGTGAGAAACCTAAACTCAGAATACAGCTCAACTATGGATTTACTCATTTTCCCGCTCCCCCTGTGGTCACAATATATTTTTTATTAATTATTCCGAAGATCTTCAGTCACAGCAGTGTGTCCTGATTTTCATACCTTTTGGGTTATTTTTATACTATATTGACTTGAAAAAACATATGTTTTGTTACTATGCATTTTTCTTCTATAGACCACTGGATTCAGTGTATTTAGGTTTTATATTCTAAACATTTTCCATTATGAATATGTAGCAATCGGAATACTCCAGATGTCTGTGTCAAAATTTTTAAAAAGTATTGTTGCCAGAATATGTGCATATCTGCTATGAAACATGTTTCTGTTTGACTCCACAGAAAGGTGGTGGATATCATCTCGATCTGCTCATGGTTGGCATGATGTTAGGTATATGCTCAATTATGGGCTTGCCTTGGTTTGTGGCTGCAACTGTTCTTTCTATAAGTCATGTCAACAGTTTAAAAGTAGAATCCGAGTGTTCTGCTCCTGGGGAGCAGCCAAAGTTCCTGGGAATTCGTGAGCAGAGAGTGACAGGATTAATGATCTTTGTGTTGATGGGGCTGTCTGTATTTATGACATCTGTATTAAAGGTAAGTAAAAAAAGTTTATTCCGTAACATTATGTAGGCTGAACATGCTAGTAAAACAGTATTAAAAGTCCCAGTGGTATGGCTTCAATGATATGAACATGCCTCTCGCCATATCCAACCAATCTCAATAGAAAATCATGTGTTAAACATGAAAAGTGTACCTATAGTATGTTTTTGTATCTTTGAGAATAGAAACCATAGAATGTCTCAACAACTGCAATTTTGTATTTCTTTGGGTTTCTTCAGATTGTTAGTTGGGAGTGATTTTAATGGTTTTAATGGTTTTAATGGCTCGTCCACTTGTTCTGACACTTTGTCCTGAGAAAACTGCTGTTTGCGCTGAATCAGAACAGGCATCGATTTGTTTTTCTGTGGGTTGACATTTGTTCTGATACAGTGGTAAGCAGTGGGTTTTCCCAGAGAAACTGGCAGGACAAACGAAAAACCACTTGGACCTGTGCCTAGAAAGCCTAGAAAGCGGAAGATCACTTGGACCCATGCTTTCCTGGCACAGGGCAAGCCAACGTGTGGACGAGCCCTAAGTTTTCTGTTAAACACACATTCATAGTTAATTGTCGTTGAATCATGCGTTTTCCCTAATTGGATGCAGTGCTCGAGCCTGTGACTTTGATAAATAATAACTGTTAGCATAAAGATGGTAGAAAATGCATTCACTGATCTGTTAATGAACTTGCTGATCTTTTCCCCACAGTTTATTCCAATGCCCGTTTTATATGGTGTTTTTCTTTACATGGGAGCATCCTCACTAAAAGGCATCCAGGCAAGTTCTATTTTAATCAGTATCTGAGGGAAAAGGGTGAAAAATAGATACTATAGTTTGGCATTTCTCCCCAGCCCCCCAAAGGTCACCCCTAAGGGTTGTGGGGGATGCTCATAGCATGGTATTGGAACAAGGAGTTTTGCAGTAGGAGGCAAAAACTGGTGGAAACTGAGTGCGATGGCAACTCTGCGGGCAGACTGAGGATTGCAAGGAAAGAAGACACTATTTTACTTATGCTTATTTGCCTGTTCCCACAAAGCATCAGAAGGTGGCTTTAGCAGGGTGCGAAAGGCATTGGCTTAATGCAGCTTAAAGCTGAGGAGGAAGCGTTCCTTGCATCTCTTTCTTTGACCTGGAGTCATGTTTGTACTCCACTCTTGAACCAGTCTCTTGAGTACTGCTCACAACCACTTAGATTTTAACAATATTAGTGACAATTAATTAATTAGTTTAGAACAGGGGTGCCTTCTAGATGCTGTTCAGCTTCCATCATCCCACCAGCCTGCATGACCAGTAGTCAGGGATAATGTGATACGTAGTCCAGTAATGTATGGAAAGCCACAGGTTAGGCACTCCTTGTTTAGAAATTCTCATAGGATGGGTTCTGGCTGAATCATACTCAGAACAGATCCACTGACTAAATTTAGTCCATTGATTTTAATTGGTCTACTCAGAGTGTGACTTGAATGCTACTCAGTTTGTTTTTGCAGCTTGGGTAACTCTGTTATCAGTCTAATCAAGTAATGCTTTAAGTATTTGACCAATAGTTGGACAGTCAAATTCGAAACCCTGCCTAATTTTGCAATCCCTTCAATTTTTATTTCTGATTGTTTTTCTTTCCTAATTTCCCCTTTAGGATGAAACAAAGTTCAATAACTTTTTTCTCCTTTTCAATTTAGTTTTTTGATCGTATCAAATTGTTTGGAATGCCTGCCAAACATCAGCCTGATTTGATCTATCTGCGTTACGTGCCACTCTGGAAGGTTCATGTATTTACGGTAGTTCAACTCACCTGTCTCGTTCTTTTGTGGGCAATTAAAGCATCTGCTGCTGCTGTTGTTTTTCCTATGATGGTAAGTAAATAATTATAGTGTATTTGAGAATATACATTTGTGTCAACTCAATATATGAGACAAAGAATTTGCACCACACAATTTTGTCTCATATGACTCAATCTATATTAGTTTTGTCCTTTCTATTAGTGTTCTGATCTTTGTGTGATAGCTGTTGTTTTTAAATTGTTGTTTTCAAGGTTTTAGCTCTAGTTTTCATTCGCAAACTTTTGGATTTGTGTTTCACCAAACGGGAGCTCAGTTGGCTTGATGACCTTATGCCAGAAAGTAAGAAGAAGAAGGAAGATGACAAAAAGAAAAAAGCAAAGGAAGTAAGTTTGATTGTAATTTATAACAAAAAAAAGAACAACTGAAATCAGTGGGGGGTTTTGGGGGCGGGGGCAAGAGTAAAACATAGTTCCTATAGTTTTTAATGGATCTGTCACCTGTATGGTTTTAGAATTTGTATAAATATATGAAAAATGAGTTGCAATTATACTCCTTTGGGTGTTGTTCTTGGGAGAATGGTGGATTAGAGATCATATTTTAGGGTTTGATGGATGGATCCCTCAGACTCCCAAGGATCACAGCAGATACCCAATTTTGTTGGTACGAGTGGGTTGACAGCAGCTGCTGGCACTGCACTCGAAGGCCCCATACCCTGATATTCTAAATGGCTTATCAGATGGCGTGGGCAGTAGTTTCCAGAAAGAAAGGGACTCAAGCTTCATTACCTGTGTGAAACTCTTTAAATATCCCATATTCTGTGTCCCAAATATGACTTATCTTGGAGGGGTCAGTAGGTGACTGGGCAGGATGCTATGTTGTACAATTATAATGTAGCACTATCCAAAATACAGTTATGGCCACCGCTCTGTATTTAAAGTACATTGAAAATCATACAAGGCCTTGTTTGCATGCCTCATTCTTGTAGAGTAAAATAATTAAATATGTATTGGATAATGTGTAACTTTCAGGAAGCTGAACGAATGTTTCAGGCAGTGGACAGTGAAACTATACACCTTCCATATGACAGAGGCGATGTGTTAGAGATTCCCGTGAAAGCTCTAAAATACAGGTGTGATATATACTTACTATTTTTATTGCTTTTTACATAGCTTTATGTGGAAATTAATGTATTTGAACTATTGTGAATCAGTACTGACCTATAAATCTGGGATTCAACTGTCTGGGAAAGAGGAACAAAAAAACAGACCTCCTTATGTCTACAATATGGTTTTATATATCTATTTTAAATTACATTTTATTCATGTGACCCTTTTGAACAGATCAGATGACTCACTTTCAACCAGCTGTTCTCAGGGTGAAGAAGCTGTTTTGGTCAGTTCTGTCTAGTGTGCTCCTGTGCATGGCTAATGATGTGAGAAGCATTGAAGATACTAAATATAATTTGAGCCATAAATTTACCAGCTGCTTAAAGCCTGGACAGTCTTTTTTTAAAAAAACGAAAACAAAAAAGCTCTATATAGTAATTTCCTTTTAACGCAAAGCAAACAAACAAAAAACCAAACCTTGTGTACATTAAAAAAAGTTGTCTGGGGACACTTGATAATATAGTGGTACCTCCGGTTATGAACTTAAATCGTTCCGCAGGTCCGTTCTTAAGCCAAAACCGCTCATAACATGAGTTGTGCTTTCACTAATGGCGCCTCCTGGTGCCGTGCTCCCGGCATGCAACTTCCGCTTGCATCTCAGGGCAAAGTTCGCAACCGGAAGCATCTACTTCTGTAACCCAAAGTGTTTGCAAGGAGGACTGTATGTAACACGAGGTTCCACTGTAAACGGACTTGAAGGACATAGCACTTAACCCTTAATTTATCTACTACTAAAATCAATCCCAATTGAGTATCTTTTTCCCCCCAAGTTAAAACAAAGAGATGTTGTTTATTAATGTTGTTTGCTACTCACTTTTCTTACAAGGTAACTCAAACTGACTCATATTAAAACCAATTGGAAACAACAATAAAAACCTAAAAACACAACAATTTGAATAAGACTAAAAACACAAAGAAGGCAGGACTTTAAGTCTCAGCCCTCTAAAGAAGCTAATATATACCATTCAAATTAAAGGGCCAGAAGCCCAGGAAAAAATGAAACGTCTTTGCCTTTTCCAGCCAGCTCATTTCCAGAACATTTCCCATCCTTCCTTGTAATCTGTTTGAAAGGAACGTGTATACTTTTAAAATAATTTGTCTTGGCAAAATATTTGGCTCCAGTTGGAATACCAGAGCTCCTAAGGCTACAGTCATCAACCACTTTACCCAGGAACATACCTTCTTCCATATAGAGCTAGTTAGGATTAAGTGACTTAAGAATAGCATCCCAACAAGCTTTTCAATATCAGCAAGCATCCCTAGCCATATTCTTAAGTTTGCTTTATAAAAAGATACTTTTACTTATTTTCTTATGGTGGCCCCTAGTTTGTATGGATTTGGCCAATATACATTTTTCTTTGGAACACATGAAAATAACCAAAATACTTATTTGTAAGAATTTTGGGTGAGCAAGAAAATAGGTGATAGAGAAAATAAGTACCTGAAATTCTTACGAAGAAGTATTTTAGTTATTCTCATGTGTTCCAAAGAAAAATGTTGCTAGTACAGAAGTAGTTCAGATCTGCTCTCAAAATGGACTCAGTTAGAATTGGATTCTTTCATACAAATATTTCTATTGCCATATGATGATTAAAATCACTCAGTAAGCCAATCCAGTTTTTCCTGTAATGGAATACCTTTTTTAGCCCAGGAATTCTTACACCACATGTATTGATACAGAATGTAGTATTTAACATAACACGTCACTAGTGGCTGGGTAAATACATAACATAAGGCTCAAATGATGTAAAGAGCATGAGACATAATTAATGCTTTTGCAAGGCACTGAATACTAATCAAGTTGTGTTTGTTGTCTAGCGTTGATCCTTCTGTTGTAAACATATCAGATGAAATGGCCAAAACTGCACAGTGGAAGGCTCTTTCCATGAACACAGAGAATGCCAAAGTAACAAGATCTAACTTGAGGTAGCTTAAAACTACTCACCTTTCTGATTATGCTTTGATTTTGTTGAGCTGTGGAAGTAATTTTGACTGGTATTTATATTTATACCCCGAATGCCCAAATAAGAGTTTATATCACATCTGAACTGTGAAACGATGGAAAAGTTTATGAGACCTAGGAAAGAAAAAGACTAGTTTTTAAACTTGGAAGTCTGGAATCCCAAGAACAGTGAAACTAGTGTCATGAGTTGGAGATGCCCATAGAATTTTCTTAAATAAGAGCCTACCATTCTGAATCTTTTTTAAAAGCCCAGTTTGCTTACATGTTATGAGGGTCATTGTCAAAGAAAAATATATATAATGGATTAGCATAAGGCTCTTGATTAAACTGGAGTTGTTTTTTTGGATAATGGACAGAAGATGATATCCAGTACTTCCCCTCTATTGGTAGAAGGCATCTATCAGCAAAATGAGTGAGAGAGGCAGTTTTTGACAATTATTCTCCTTCCACCCACAGCCCCCAATCAAAAGTTGATCCAGGAAGTCCTACTGGAAGGGAAGTGTTGGATATCACCCAAAGCACATTTTCTGTGTATTACAGTGATTTAGATATGGGGTGGCTCTTTTAAAAATCTTTAATCTGTAGCATAATGGACCAAAGAATGCCATGCATAGCTGTTTCATATCGTTTCTACTCATTGTGGAACTTTAATTTGGAATAAAGAGTAGAAAAGACACAAAGCATGATACTCTCCCCCCCATTCGGCTGCATATGCACACACACAGGTATATATACACAAACGCAAATTTCACAAAAGCTTGCTTGCTACTAGGAATTTCAAATATTCTTAGTCCTGTAGCTGCACACTTGAGATCATGAATGTGGAGGCTGGTTGCAAGACCTCATTATTTATTTAATTTTTATACTACCTTCATCCGAAGTTCTCTGGGCAGTTTACAGCATAAAGGTACAAGATGAAAACACAAAATATTTAAACAAAACAACAAAACCTTTCCCACATTACAGCTGGTTTCAGATGTAACATGAAACCATGGTTTGTGCTAACCATAGTTAAGAACCCACTTCATATTTTTTTTAAGAATAATTTTTTATTAACCGACCAATCACATCAAATCAAACCAAATTACATAAATTCCAAATTACACAGCCGAATTTTAAATTGTTGTTGGGGGTACCCATATTTCAAGTTCCGAAGGGATCCAATCAACTTCTTGCTTCTTACTGCTGTTTTAATGTCCACAAATCTAACCTTATGATGTTCACAGTACTATCCAGTCCTTTCTTATTATTTTTCCACATCTCTTGTTGTTATTTTCATATATTTTCCTTTCTCTTTGTGACCTCTGATAGTCTCCGCAAGCTGGTTAGAACAGTTTGTAATCCTGCGTGGATATTATTTTGGATCCAGTAGCCATATCCAGACGTTTTCCATATAACATCACTTCCATACATCAAAACAGTCTTAGCGTCATTAATCTTCACCAATCTGCCTCCTTTCTCAAAACCTCTGAGGAGATTCACTAGGAATGCAGTCTGACAACAAATCCGTTCTTCCTCCCGGCTGTAAATCCTTTGGCAAGATGGCGACTCCGAATTAATTGCTGCGCCATTCCCAAAAGCTCTTATTGCTTCTCGGTCTCCATAAAGCATACTTTTGGTTAACGTTTATCTCCACACAGACCTTAATCATCCTGCTTGGGTCAGTTCAACCGACGGTTCTAATGAGGAGGGGTTCTTGTAAATCACATAGAAGGAAAGTAAAAAAGGTCCCCCCCCCCCAATTCAGCCCCGTTGACAGCCTTTGGTGTATCTTCATCGTAAAATATTCCTGTTTCTCCAGCCCGTCATCTTCTTTCGCAGAGGTCACTTAAATTAGCAGACTTCACTCCCCTTCTTCACTTGAAATATGTGCATTTGCTTCTTTTGTAATTAATTATTCCAAATTGCTACAACTAGTGCGCGATCAGAGACAGCGTCCAGGAGAGCCGATGTCCACACGGGGCCAGTCTGCCTAGGGCCCTCACCCCCTTCGGGCAAATTAGGGGTGATTTATGGGCACAGCAGGCAAGGGCAGTGTTCCCCATTTCCTTGGGGCAACAAGGGAGGCTGCCTACTCCCATAACAGCCTCTTAATTACCCCGTGTGGGTCGGAGAGATGGTATTGTCGGCCATCTTCCAATGCGCCCCCTAGTGGCCCCCCGTTAAGAACCCACTTCATAGTCTGAGCTTCTTGACATATGCCAGGCTGACTATAGGTCTGAGACGCTTGTCTGCTCAGAATTCAGCTTCATGTTTCCATGGTGAAGCAGCCTCTTGCGCTGGGACAATGGCCCTGTGATTTGTCAATGTCCTGTGAATTCACATATAATAGGAACTTAGAAATATTAGGTGGGTTCAGGTTCAGGCTGCATCTGAATCCAGACTAAATGCATGTTGCCTAGTCTGTCACTGACCTTACATGGCAGTCCTACATGTCTACCCAAAAATAAGCACCATCGTATTAAGTGGATTTAGAATTGCAGCCTTAAAGTTGAATAACTATGGTGGTTTATTGCAATTATATTGAATACACATGCATCTATAAGAAGAAAAGCTGAAAATGGCTTAAATGTTTAGCGAAAAACAGCATTCAAGCCATAAACCCTAAGAGAATAATCTTGAATCCATGTTAAACTTTTCTGATGTGCTTCATGTGCTTGAAATGTGTTAACTTGAGTGTGTGTATGTGCATGTTCATAATAAAAAATAATATGTGATACATGAAATACAGGTGCTATTTGATAAAATTTGAGTGTGTTATATATTCTTTGGCTTGTCTAACCTTGTGAATTGTTCTTAACAGCTCTGAAAAAGAAGAGTGTGTGAAAATAGACATGGAAAATACTCCTGAAACAAAGTATGTAGATGCTGAAACCTCATTATAGAAGTGAACAAGGGTATATATTATTTTATAGGATATACTGTAAAAGGGTGACTTCATATCTTCTTTCAAGTACTGAAATTCAAGAGAGATGGATACTGTATGCACAGCAACAAGACTTTCAGACAAGATAGAAGTGATGTCCGCTCTGGAAATATTTATTTTTAGTGGAATGTTTTTCATTTTTTTAAATAGGAAAATTAAAAATTCTTTTTAGTTATCAGTACATGCATTGCATGTCAAATCATCTTTAATTGTGAAGTATTGGTTGCATTGTTTATAACTTTCTAGTATGTAGTAGTTTTTATAATTTATTGCAGTACACGTCACATTTTCAGGCAATTACTGTTTGGGTGTTTGCAAAATGTTATAAATGTCAGTCTCCCTAGGAAAAAAAAAATCCCAATGTGCCCTTTCATAAATGACTTTATTTTCAGGCCATTCTTACTTCATGTTGCTGTTTTATGGGGATCTAAATGGATATCTGTGAGAATGATTTATTAGTCCTAAATTAGTATAACACTAAACACAGTGTTGTTGCCTTTCCCTTATTCCTGTAAGTCATGGATACCACAGTACCTCTTCATACTACATATTTTGTGTACAGATTCTTTTGCCTCCATTGAAGTTAATGAGGCATTGAAATTATACAGGGCCTGTGGATTTGAATACACATGTAGGCTCCAAATTAAGGTTCCTGACTTAAAATGTAAGCTTAACAGACTTTGATTAGCCAATGAGTTTGTTTCCTTTTCCTGCATGTGCATAATATTAATTGAGCTCTGAAAATAGATTCAGAGTGGTAAGAGCAGGGGATCCCAATGCAAACATTTTCCTGATTCAGGAGAGGGTTTGCACAGGAATCTTGCTTTTAAACAAAGGGCTTTCAAACAACCCCACACAGACCCAGAGCAGGTGGAGGGAGTGTGCTTCACAGAGGATGGGAGACAGAGCAAAAGGCTAGCAATCATGGAGCCAATTCTGACTCAGTCAATAGAACTCAGTATCTAAATGCTATTACTTGGAAGGCTTGGACCTTTCTTGTGTGAGTGAAAAAAAAAATACTTCCACTTGTGAAAGGCAACCATGCTGAATTTCTTCCATTTCCTCATCCAGCTGCTGCCCCCATACCCCATTCTACATTCTAGAGGGTCCTACTGCCTTAGGAGATGGTTTGGGGGGGGAACCACAGGGCCTACAGCAGGGGGAAGGAGCCGGGAGAGCCCTGTTGCATGAACAGAGTTCTGCTTGAGCATTTCAAGATCCACGCAATATGTTTGGAACTATAGCTAGCTTATAAGATATTAGGCCGTGCATAGAAGTAAGTTGCATTGACGTCAGTGGTGCTTAATTTTGAAGGCAGTGAATCTGGGTCCAAAGCTGTGCATGCAGAGCTTCTGCAATGGGTAAGGCCTTCTCTTATGTGGAGGATGTGCATATGAAATTATACCCTATATCAAGGAAAGATCTTGTGTATGCTGGATCCACATGGTACCTATCTGAAAATCCCACACATATGAAGAAGGCCCCTAAACTGGAGCCACTGTGATTAGCATCAAGGTGTGAGGATTGTGTAATACATTAATCTCTATGCATTTGGAGGAATGGAGCAACTTTATGTGAAGTTACAATTAAAAGGCAAATTAAACATGTAAGGTCTTCAATTTTAAAAGCACATTGCTTTATTATCTCCTCTTACTGAAGTCAGTTGTATAAATTGCTAGCCACACCGGAACAGGGATGGCGGGGACTCTGACCCCACCTGTCATGGTTGGACTCTCAATTCCCATCATCCACAGCAAATATGGCCAGTAGTCAGGGATGATGGAGGTTGTAGTTCAAATCATCTGGAGGTCCACAGGTTCCCCATCCCTGCACCAGAATATTAATGCTCATTTCTTTCTGTGGCAGAATTAAGCATTTGTGTATATCTGTCCTGATGAAATGCACAGGACTTAAGGCTTGAACTGCAGCTGGATAGTATCTGTTTGCCAGCATGGACTTCAGTTATCTTGCCCAATGGTGAACCTCACAGTAACCAATTCTGCTTCTAAAAGTGAAATGGCAGCAACTGGTGAAGCCATTCATTGGTAGGAATCACCACCGTGGAGCAATCAAATAGGTCTTTAAAGACCACTGTCGGAAGTGGTAGCTGATGTAAACGTAAACCGTGTAGTTACTGGCTGGTTAGGAGCTTCAAGTCCACATGGACCTCTCATGCTAGCAGAGATTCTTAGTGGAGCCCATCATCACTGCTACCTCCCAGCAGTTTCCCATTAAGAATGTGCTTTCTTTTCCTTCCTTGATTGCCTGGCAGCATGCAATTCCTGTTAGCAATCTGCCTCGCCACTTGTTACTGAAGAATGCTGTCCGTATGAAAACTTAAGTTCCGCAAACCTTGCAAAGAAGTCTAGTTGTTGACATTGCTCACAATTGTAACAGAAGCCACATAACTTAAGGTTGTGCTTATTTTCCGTCAATAATGAATATTTGCACCTCTCTTTGTGCTTTCTGTCAAATGAAGAATTTGTGCGCGTCTCCCACAGAATTTTTCACTGGGAATATGGCAAGAAGTGCATGTTGGATCTTGAAAGTAACTTGGTGCACCTAGTGAAACATTTTACTTTTCTGAAGAGGAAGTTCATGTACCGTGCCGTCAACTGCTTTTGAAATAGTGGGGTGTTTCAAAAGCCGTTTTCAGGGCAGAACCAGAGGAGTGAATAAGTTGCACAGCATAAAAGCAGATTGTGGGGCTCACCAAAAGCAACTGTGCTCAGTGACCTGAAACAATTGAGAGCAAGTAATGGGAACAGAAACCTATGGAATTGACACTTAAGATTTACTTGAACAGTGGCATTTCCTTTTATTATTATTTTTTAAATGCTGCTAAATGTATTCACAGTTTGAAGAAAAAGTTAACTTTATTAAATCAACATGTAGGGATATGGGTCATCATTAAACAGAAGAGCTGATGCCTCAGCACCATCAAGTTAGCTTTTCAGTACTGCTTATCTTTGATATTGGTAAGAGTATAGCTAATGTTCATTCCTGGATGTTCACGTAGCTTGTGCCTTAGCCTTCTTCAGAAAATATGCACTTTTTCTTTTTTGAAAATCATGACCACCTGTCACTTACCCCATCTCTTTCATAAAAGGTGTGTTCAACGTCTTCAACAATCACGTTTGAAAACAATGTGTTCTATTTGGTACAGTAAAAAAAAACCAATCATGCCTGTAGCTTTCAGAGTTATTCACACTTGTCTTCCATTACTGAAAAATTCTGTATTCAGAGCTGTGGGTAGTAATTTGCAAAGATCCAAACAGATTGTCTTGAATGTTAACCCTTTGTTTTTTAAGCCTATAATTCCATAATGCTGAACAGTTCATATCAACTTTTCAGTGCCAAAGGGTTAATAATTTTGGTAACTTAAGCAAAGATCTGAAAACTACTTAGAATCACAATATTTATTTTATTTTAATTATGTAAAAATATTATACAGTGCCAGGCATAACCATGACTTGCAATGTAGTCTGCATTGATTGTTTCGATGTTGTTTGTTAATGTTATCTTACATATTTGATAGCATATTAAGTCCTGATGACATGCTGAGAATTCCAGTGGTAAAATCTAGGTGATTTACTGCTTATTATACTGTATAAACGTTATTTCCTTCTCCATAATTAAAAAAAGGATAGTATTAAAGTAAGACAGTGAAGGACAGAGCTTTTACTGTACGTAGATAATAAATGTTGCCTTAAAAGGTGTAAATGAGTAAACTTTACTGTGCACTGATTCACCTTAGGGTGGAGCCTAATTTAAAGCCAGTATATTTCCATTAAACCAGTAGACTAAATAGCTGAGCACTTTTTTTAGATACCTTGGTACTGGCATCTTCTGTAAAGAATCTTAGTGTCACAATAGAATCTAAACAACCCGGTGTTTTTGGTTTATGTATGAACTTGTAAAACTCTGTTCTAGATATGCACAAACAACTCATTATCCTTAGTTTGCAATGTTCCATGCTGCAAACTGTGTTTAAGGCAGGTTATTCCAGATTATCAAGATAATCAACAAAAATGTGCAAGATAGTGTACAAAGCATGTCAGTCGTTTAGCATCCAACAGAACGTTTCTCCTCCCCCCCCCCAACACATTTATCTCTATGTACAGTAGTCTTGTAAAATGTGCCCATTGTAAAAGTAAGTTCCAAATGTAAAAATGTCACGGATAGATGAAATGCAAAACCAAAATGCACTGGTATGCATTGTTTAAAGGGGTTATGTATTATACATATGTTTTATACATTGTGTTTGAAGTTACCAGTTCAGAGTTTGTAGATCATTAGCACAACATTTTGAATGTATTTTGCTTTTGCTTTTCTTAAGTTTGGTCAGTAATTTAATGTTTTTTAGAATGATTGATTATAGGTGCCATCCATTACCTAATACAGTACAAATGTTGTGAAGAACCATTTATTTTAGTGAATGTACAGGCACATAGTTGTGTGTCAATATATACTCGTATTCTGAATACAAAATATTGTCTTGTGATTTTACTACTTGCAGTTTTTTTATTTTAAAACTTTTTAGTAAATTTGTCAATTATAGGAAAATGGTTGCAATTGGTGTGAAAATAAAGTTTTTCATATTTAGTACATATTGTCACTATTTGGCAGTCTTGGAGTAACTTATTTAATGCCAGGTTTTTATAACGCAATTTATTAGTCAGGAGACGAATTCCTTTGTAACATTTCCCATTTGTTATTGATGCTTTGTTTTGTAAGTGTGTCTTCCAGTGTTCAGAGCTGAACAAAAACATTTACTTTGATTTGCAGTGTGATTCCACACTTTATTCCAGTTTTTATGACAGTTTTCTAATTGCATATAACATTTCCTTTTATAATAAAATCCAAAGCAAGTTAACACTGTTCCAAATGTAGAAACAATATTTTATTAATTTATATAATGCCTACAAAAAATTCTCCAACATGTACTGTGAAAAATCC